TTGCACAGATTGTGGCAAGGGGCCTCAACCAAACACAAGGGGACCACTTGTTTATTACATATATAAAAATGCATTGTGATTTATAAAAATATAAAATATCTTGTATCTCAAATATGAATCTATAACTCCAGCTGTCCGATAAATACAGTAAAAAGCATATTTCTCTCTGAAATGTGGGGTGAGTTAAAGTATATAGCACAAAATGGAAACACTCAAGTAAAGTAAAAGTACCTCAGAACTGTAGTACATAAGTACAGCTCTCGAGTAAATCTAGGCCTTCTTCATTACATTCCACCACTGGAAATCACCACAATTGAAAAAAGAAGGTCAAGTTATGGCTCAGGAAAAATATGGCACCTTAAGCTTACCATCAAAATTCTAATCTGTTTGTAATATTATTTTATATGTATATTGGATGTTTGACTTGGATTGATCTGTTTGATGATAGGTATTTCTTGTGTGTTGTTTATTTGCCCCCTAGTCACCTGGTGAATCCGTCACAGTGAATTTTTTGATAATATATGATGAAACAGTTTGTAGGAATTCTTGACTAGGGCAGTTTTGCAACAGGTGACAGTCTTAATACTGGCACCATAAATCACTAGGTTTTATCTTTTCTGCATTTCACAGCAGTCATAAATCAACACTGCTTGGACCTGAGGTTCAAAATAAGTGATTATGTCAGAACACAACGCAGTATAACCCACTTTTGGTCTAGTCCATACATACAATATATGTTATGTATGTTGGCATATGTAGGGTACCTGTATGTATATGTTTATATGTGTTCTTACCACCCTGACAGATCTTATGTTACTTATTTTATTATGCTGTTAAGTTCCAGAGTTCCCATCTGTGTGGCAAAAGCCGAGCAATTTGGTGTCATCAAGGTCAGTTTTATATTAATATACCTGATTTATAAGCTGCCAATTGATATGCTCAAGGGAGGGAAATTGTTGACTAATCATAAACAGACTAATCTTTAGCTTCTGAAATTATGAACATGCCTCTTTATCTGACCTCAATGTTTCCTGCAATCCCAGCAGACAGGGTCCTAAAGCTTTAACCTTTATTCAATGGGTAAGGCTTTTTTTTTTGTTACGCACGGTCAACAAATCCCATAAAAAGACCAAAATCTGTTAGTATGTTTCTCAACTCTTTCTGACTTCCATACTTTTGTTCCGACTGTAGATGTCAATCTTTAAAAAAAGAACAAATAGTTTCATTTTTAAAAAGGCATTCCCATAAACAACTGGGAGCTGTAGTTTTTAGCAACAGAAATAAATAGTTTGACTTGTGGGGACTCTTTTTGGACATTAATATGCATGTTTTTTCTTCATATGTATTCACTGACTATCAATGTAAACATCATCAAAATACTGTACTGTAGTAACTGGGAATTTCTAACTTTGTCAGTGTAGAGATTCAAAAAGGAAAATGCTAAGCCTTCAGAATAATCTGAAAAATGACACTAACATATATATTCTGTATCTGCTTGTTCCAGATATATCACATGTACATTGAGTGATGCGCTTAGATTTAAAAGGGCAGTGGTTTATTGCTACAATAATAAAATTTGAGGTTATGCTTAAAAATGCGTTCTTCTTACTTCAACCCTTATCTTTTATGTGTATGTGTGTGTGTGTGTGTGTGTGTGTGAGAGAGAGAGTGTGTGTGTGGCCTACACGTTCACCTGCCTGCTTGGGTGCTCTGTGAGTTGACTTGAAGGCCTCCATTAAAATAGCTCTCTTATCTACCTTCATGTGGAGGGGAAAGTGCTTAGTTGGACCCATTTTCACAGACTAACAATAACAGCCACTGTTAACGGCGTTCAGTTGCTATTAAACAGACATGATGAGACAATAAAACAAAGAGTCTTGTTCCTTCTAACACATTACTATTTCCTCTTCCTGATAAAATGCCAGGGTGTGTTGAGATGGAAAGCCTCTTCACATGAAACTGTAATGGGACTAAATGGCTATGTGCCCCAAGCCAACCGTGCTATTACAACATCATACATGTGTGTTTGTTTAAGAGATTTATGACCCTGTAAGGTGGTGGCCGGACAGGAAGCTGATGATGTACTGTACTGGAAAGACATAAGTTTTGGTTGGAGATGTTGAACATGTGGCCAAATGAGTATAAATGTTTGTTTTGTGTGGTAGAATCACACAGCATAATAATGTTGTGGGTTTTGGTGTTGATTGTGAGTTTATTGAAGAAACACATGTGTTTGTGATCTTCCACATGTTGCTTTCCATGTACACAGCACAAGAGATGACAAAATGGTCAAACGTGACATTCTACAGAAAGCAAACTTAAAATTCACTTACACAAATGCCATGTAAAGATGCTTTTATCAGAACAAACTTCTCTTATCAACAGAGAAGCAAAGAGCATAAAACAGTGTGAGAAAGACAGTTCAATCATGGAGTGATAAATGTCTGACACGAACAAGATTTAAGACTGACAATAGGACCACAGTGTGTTTATAGATGATGTGTGAAGAGGTAGATTGATAAAGAAACAAAACAAATACAGCAAGTACATTCAACAAGTTATTATAAAAATACATTACGGCAATAGATTGAATACATTTGGTTACATGAGATTACATTTGTTTGATAACTTGGTTGACTGTAGATGAATGTGTAGTAGTGAGCAGTTTAGTGCCACAAAATAAGAGAAGGAATGTGAAGCATTGATGAATTTACCTTAATGCAACTTATAACATTAAAGCTATTATGCTGTTGCCTCAGAAAATGTGTCTTTTCCAAAACTGGTTTCAGAGTTTCAGTGATTAATCAATAAATCAAAGGGTCAATCAACAGAAAGTTAATCAGCAACTATTTTAAGGTGGTAAGTAATTGTTGCGAAATCCAGTACCATGAGAAATAACACGATATAGCAAGAACAACAACACAGTGGATTAAAATCGCACTACCTGGAATCGCTTAAAATCACAGTAAAGCAAATATTCAATTCCATTCTTATTTACTTGAGATGTACATCTTTGACAAGAGTCTACAGCCATGGTAGCAGCACTGTGAGGCTGAGCTAAATGCTAAAAGTCTCACAGTGATGAAGCTAACAAACTGACATTAAGCAAGTTTAATGTAGAACATGTTGACAAATTTAGTTTAGCATTGTAACATTTACTTAATAGCACTAAACACAAGATTAAAGTACCACTGAGGCTGATGGGAACGCCATTCGTTTTTAATTTGTTTAGTGATAAACCAAAGTATTGGACATATTGAAAGATTACCCTGATGATGGAGATGGAAAGTTACAATTTATCCAGTGGAACAAAACAAAAATCCATCCAATAGTTGATGAGACATTTCACTTAAAGCCACAACTGTGAACTGGTGGTAATAGAGGAAGGCTCAGTAGGCTCAATCCTCTGGGAACCAGGAATGGACCTCTGCCAGTCTATCAAGTAGATTTTTCTCATTTTCTCAGGATAAGTGAAAACTATGACCTGGTGGTTGTGCTATAGGTTAAGGCACATTCTATTAAAGTCATTAGGATTCATCTTCCTCTGTGGCCCATGAATGCCTGTCCAAAATGTTATTGCAATCAATTCAATAGCTGTTGAGATACTTCAGTGTGAATCAAGGTGGTGGACCAACTGACTTTCAGACACTGCCACCCAAAGAGCCACGCTGTTAGCATGAATGTATTATTTCATTTAAGAAAAGGCTTAGTTGATTTCCTAATGCTGGGAGTTAATAGGTTGTAAACGTCAGTCCGGATGGAGTGTGGGAGTCTTTCCGCACTTGCCCTCCCTCCAACTGGTGCACCGACAGTCACTTGACAGTTGTTCATTAACATATGGAGTAAATAGTGCATTTGTTTGGGGACTAAAAGCTAATTTCGTGAGTATTTATGGCAGCAGGACAGTGTATGTGGGAATAACTCAAAATAAACTACGGAACTACTACTAATATTATTATTAGTTTTTAAGTCTTTGGAAAACAATAAGATCTAAAGCACAGAGGAACAAGACATTTCAGGCTTGGCTACACAGATAGGCCTATTCTCATTAGGATCAATTCATTGTTGGTTTTGTTTTTTTCAGATTATCACCATATCATTTAAGAGAACTGTTAATTCGAATATGATCACTTAGATCATGATCTTTCTATGATAAACTGGGTCATTCACATGACAATTGTGATAATCAGAATACTGACTATCAGATTGTAGTGTTGTTATTGTCATTCATATACACACTACTGATGTGTTTAAGACCATGGTTTTGGAATACAGACTGTTTTAACTTGAGGGTATTTTTACCAACAGGTAAAATTTTGAAGATGTCAGAAATATTTTGATGCATTTAACTGCAACTTTAGTGGCTCTGTGTCACCCAAACGGATAATAAAAAAACAGTTTTGTTTGTAGGCTACACTTTTGATTTAGTTTAGTGTGTTTTAGTGTTTGTAGTGATTCAAGTTGATTTTCTCGAAATGAGGTGACAGTGGTTTATGAGCAGACTTTTACAGGCTTAATCCGCCCTCTTTTATAGCAGACAATATTTATCAGCTCCACACAAGCCTTCACTTTTATGGCCTCCCATGACCTTTGCCCCTCTCACTATGAAAGCTTTCCCTCACCTCTCTGCTTTGAACAAAAAGTCTTTAGAACAAATCAGATTATGTAAAAAAGGCAGAATATCAGTTGTACTGATTCCATTTTCAACACATATGTTTTTCTGTTTGTTGCCAGTCTACAAGTCCTGACTGCAATTAATCTGCTATTGTCAAACGAACAAAGATAATGTGTTTTATTCTTACACTTTCTTCAGGTTATTACAGACACACTGGTCTCTTTAGAAAAAGAGAGTTGGGAAGAATCTTTGATGTTATTCAGACAGGAAGTGTAAAGTGGAGGCAGGCCTAAACTTCATGTTTACAAACGGGATGAATTACGATCTCAGTAAGATTCTAAGCGTCAGTCCAGATGGAGTGTGGGAGTCTTTCAGCACTTGCCCTCCCTCCAACTGGTGCACTGACTGTCACTTGACAGTTGTTCATTAACGTATGGAGGACAGGTAGATCAGCCAGTACCAAGGTGGAGGATTATTGATCTAAGGCTTACACTAGGGAAACAACTGGTGTGAAGATTTCTTGTCTTTAGTTTACTTTTTCTTTTGTATCTACTAAAAGTGGTTGAAGATCGCAGACAAAACTTTTATTTTCTTCTTTTATCTGGATGCCGGACAGCGAATCCAGAGACAAAGTGACTTTTGCTTAGTCACTGAAGAGCACTCTTCACTTCTGTTTTTGGACTCATGTTGTCAATGGAGAGGATCTGTTCAGGTGGACGAATGTAAAAACTTGCCTTCAGTCTTCTGTTTGAGTTATATATTGTCATTGACATGTAGAAACTGTGAAAAAAGACACAATATTCTGAGGGAAAAAGGAAAATCTCAAGGATCAAGATGTACAACTTACACAGTTTACTTTACCTGGGAGTGCTGATAATGGCGGTGGTCGCAAACAAGATGCTGGATGACTGTTTGGAAGTAAGGCGTAAATATACCATTAACGTTGCGCTGCTGGAGGACAACACTTATAAGTGGAGTATGCCATTTGTGAAGGCGGCTGTGGAAAAAGCCATTGCAGAGGACAGTCTGGAGAACAATGGTATGAACAGGTAGTTGCTTAATAAGGCTGAATGGACCTTACAATTAATAATTATTTTATATAATCTATAAATCTATAATTTGATATCATTTATAAATTCTTGCATATTGCTTTACAGCAGCCAATAAAAACTCAGTTTAAAAGTGGTAAAAACCTAAAATTAAGATAATAATAATAATAAAAAAAAACAGTACTTAAGAATGAATCCTGGCTTTCATACTGAGCCAGTGTAAATCTTAATCAAATAATAGAGCTGGACATCAGCAAAGGTTTTTTAAATAGCATAAAGTCAAGTTATAGCAGCTTCTAGAAACCACTAAAACAGATAACTAGTATGAACTAGTTTCTCTGCATCCTGTTGAGCAAGAAGAGGTTTGACCACACCAGTTGTCTAAATGATAAAAGAATGTTGCGGTAAAATTAAATGGTAATAAGTTGTAAATGACAATTGTAAATGTGTTTAAAATCAAAATCAGCCCAACGTTTGTTTGTTTGATATTCTTTGGACTTGCAACTGCAAACTGCAACCAGTTTAACAGGGGTGTTTCTAGAATTTTATTTTTATATTATTATATACTGCTTATATGATACCTGATTTTGGTACCAACACTAATACATTTTTTCTTACAGAACTTTGAGAGATGTAAACAAATTTAGCCATTTTCACATGCCTTAACAAAAGACACCAGACCATAAAAGAATGTTTATGCTCAGCTAAATAAAATTGTCTAAAACTGGAAACCTTTTGATTTAAATCAACTTTCTGACTGAAGAATAAGTAAAAAAAAATAAAAGGAGTAGTACATGGACGCTTTTGATACTCAGTACTATGAACACATCATGGTTGGTACTTTGGTTTGATACCCAACCCTCCAGGTGCATAGAGGAAACATTTGGTTATGTACTGTATAATGATTGCTCTTACTTCTACTATGTGAAGAGAAAACAGCTGTCCTAACTATGAACAAACCATAGGATGGTTGGATGTATTGATGGTTGACGTGCTAGTTTAAAATATACAACATGTAAAAAGGACAGTTTTGGAGATGTTGGAAATGCATATTTTTGCTCAGTTTGTAACCCGTGCTGGTAGCGAGCAGCAGTAGGCCTATGGCTTTATACAATAAGAAACAAGCTATATCTATATTTCACGTCATAACAATTAATTTGAAATACTAACTGTTGACATATATAAAAAATGTGCTATCAATTGTTTATTTCTCTGCGATCATTTTTGGTCTAACACTTGCTATGCACGCCAGAGTAGCCCAACAACTAACCTCTGTCAAGACTTATAACACTACTTCCCCTACATCATGTCCAAATAGTATACAAATGATACCACACATTGTATAATATAATACTAAAACCACATCAAAAATACATTTGACATTATATCAAACCACGTACTTTAAATGAATCATCATGTTAAATACAGATATAAATAGTAAATGTTATAGATGAGTGCAGGTTCTTCCGTAAAGATTTGTAAACCAAGAGTAGGCCTAACGATTTACACAAGGCTCTTTCCTTTTCCCAGCTGACCACAGAGGGGCTCCATAGGATACAGCCTAAAACAGCATAAACCAGTGGTCCTGACCAACCTATCCAACCATATACTCTAGCTTTACTCACCTTTATACCCCTTCAGATATATCTTTAGTTCAATTAAGATGACTACTTTTACTGTCTTAATTTTGTCAGAGGCAAGTCATCTTAGTATCAAATTAAAATCTTTGTAATATTCAGTTTTGTTTTGTTTTTTGCTGTTGTAAATATAAAAATATGAATTTCTCTGCAGGAGAAATCAATGGCTACATTTACACCAGTGGGCGATAAATCAATCTAATCTAATCTTAACAGCCCAAAGATATTAATGAGTTATTTTTTTATGTTAATAATTCTTATCTTCTTTCCATGACCCAAGTTTTAGGCTTCAACCTGACGGCTAACTACAATGAGTTCACTACCAATGCGTACAAACGGCAGGGCTGTGGAAGCAGCACCTGTGAAGGAGTGGCAATACTCAAGGATCTGCATGTGAGTATGGTCAAAAGATGATCAAAGATTAGATGTCTAAAGGGTTTTAAAGTGATTCTTATAGTGCAAGGTCATATTTATCAAATGTGGCATGGTAAAAATGCTTTAGGTGATGAGATACAGAGATATCTCAGGCAACACTGACATACCTTTCGATGTGAGAGCAAGAAACCAGAACCTGAATCTTCATTCCTGTGTTTACCTGTTATCTTTATCCCCCTTTATCACTTCCAAAATGTGTAAGAAAATATTTTGAGCTTCTGTTAATAGTGATAAAATCTAAGGAATTCAACTTTTATGTGTTCACACTGGATGCAGAGGCTCAGTGTACAATAATAACAAGTTCCCCCTTTTGTAGTCTGATAGTTTATTATCCCATTACCCTTCAGTTGGCACAGTTCCATGTCAATTACTTCATGACAGGATGATTGCCGTGGCTCACTTGAATTTAAAAATGTTTCTGTCAGTGTTTCGTAGCCAATCATCAACCACATCTTTGCAGATTTACTATTTTGCACCAACAATATTTTCATTACAGGGGTTGCCATTGTAGTAGTAGGAGGAGGCCAAGATGCAAATACCAGTGCAGCCCCGGCATGCTGTGTGTTGAACTTATAGGTGTGACTCTTGTTTTGCCTTGATAAAACAAACTCTTCCATTGCTCCAGCTTTCTCCACCACAGCTGAAAGCAACTGGTTGCAGGCGACAGGAAATGCATTCTCGGAAATGTAGGATCTCACAATCCAAAGTAGAACTAGAAAAGAGGTTATGGGAAACGATTAACTGCAGAACTTAAAAATGAAATGACTGCATTAAGGCACTGGAATCACAGAGCGGTGATTATTGTAAAAATCTGAACACACATGTACTGTATCTTTCTGCAGAATAAGGGTGAAATTGGATGTGTCATGCTGGGGCCTTCCTGCACTTATGCCACCTTTCAGTTAGTGGAGTGAGTATGACGCTGTTTGTCTTTGATTATATACCACTAAATAAATGACAGATTTTTGACTTTTCCCCCTGTTATCTGCCTCAGTGAAGAAATTGGCCTGAACCTGAGCATTCCAATCATCTCTGCTGGGAGCTTCGGCCTTTCGTGTGACTATAAACCCAAACTGACCCGAATTCTGCCTCCAGCACGCAAGATCTCAGACTTACTATTCCACTTTATGGATGAAACCTTGCCATTTAAGCAGCATTGGGAGTACGTCTATGTCTACAAGAAGTCCAGCAACATAACTGAGGACTGCTTCTGGTGAGACAGCACAGGCTGCAGTTGACCCTAATGACCTCTGTAGCTTCATTCATTGCCACAGCATGTGCCGCTTTTCCTGTTTTATTCTTGTTTTTGCGACAGGTACATCAACGCATTGGAAGCAGCCTCTGCCAACTTTGCCTCAAAAACTGAGAGACAGATGCTGCGTGGGGAGGATGAGCTGAAGACTGCCCTCAACTCTAAGAAAAGACACAGCAACAGTGGGTATTTTGTTTGAGTTATATCTCAGTTCACATTACTTCTTTGGCTGTCATTCTTCCAACAAAAGTATTATCTAATATCTACACTAAAGATGGACAAACTATCTATTTAGAACAGTCACAACAATAGCGTTGATGCAGTATATGTGAAAAAATATCAGAATTATATTATATAATATTTTTTTTAAATCACATTAGGCATGGTTCCTAAAGGGAAAGTCCTACTGACTTCCCCTTTAGTGCAACCACAAGGTTCACATTTGTGGTTTAAGTAAAATGTCTCAACAACTTTTGGATGGATTGCCATATAATTTAGTTCAGACATAAATATCCAACTCAGGAATACATTTTAATCCCTTTGGTTGTCCCTTAAATGTACAATACAGTTCAAACTTTTCCCCTTCTGTTATACTGAAACTGATTTATTTATTTCAGTTTTCATCCTATGCGGGAACCCTGGTGACATTGTTTCAATAAAGAGTATGGTAGGCCCGATTCATGAGGACATCATTTTCATTCTTCTCGATATTTACAAGTAAGCTTGTCTATGATTTTACCATTTAGCCCATAAACTTTAACAATGAAGATTAATGAGTCTTTTCAGTGGGAAATCACAATATACTGTAAAACCTGAGATGCGAAACTTTGAATGTGTAGAAATAACCCTTTACCTTCCTCCAGTCCTGACTATTATGTCAACACAACATCCGCTGAGGGAATGGAGAACGTACTGGTGATCACTCTGCCACCGAGGAACTATGACTATGGAAACGCAACATACAATAACACGGTGAGCAGCAACTTAAACACCCAAACAAGGCTGTGTTGGGAAACGGTTCTTGTAGATCTACTTGACTCCTAACGTACTATCTATCTATATGGGCAGATAAATGACTTTGTGGCTGGATATCATGATGGAGCGCTGCTGTTTGGCAAAGTACTCAGAGAGAGAAAGCTAAGTCAAGGACGCAACAAGGAATTTGTGCCTCTGAGTGACAACCCGTTTGGAAACGTCTCCTTTTACGGTGCGTATGATCAGTGACAGCTCAAGGTTAGCAACACAAGTGGCAGAATTACAATGCAAAAGACATTTAATGAACACCAACCAGACCTGGACATCACAAGGTGTTATAGGTGATGGACACAGTGAAGGACTGCTTGATGAAACTGTTCCTTTAGCCTATACTCTAGCACAAATGTTACAGGTTAGAGCAATGACCTGTTTAACCACAGCTGAATTATTTTGTTCTTAGTTGGTGGTTTAGTATAATGTATAATTTAAATGCTATTAAATTGTAATTATTGCATCTAAGAGAAACTGAAAATGCTCTCTTTGTTGTGTGTGTGTTTGCCTCAAGCAGGTATGGGAGGACACTATGTGCTCGATGAGTACGGTGACAGAGATGTTAACTTCACTATATTCTACACATCAACCATCACTGGCGAGGTGAGTTTACAGTCCTATTCAGCAGTTTAGCCCGGTCTATAGGAATGTTTGTTTTTATCCTTTGTTTCTGTCTCTCTCCAGTACGAAACCCTGGTAGTGTTTGACACATCACAAAACAAAACCATAATGGTAGCCGAAAATCCCGCCCTGCCCTGGATCAGAGGTCTGCCTTCTGACGTGCCAAATTATTCAGGTGGTAATACTCACATACATGCTGATGGTGTAGAGGTAGTGTGGACAGTGATGTGATGCTTCACTGTAGACTGATGACTGTTAACACCATAGAGCACAGTTTCTGTCTGGTCTGTGACTCTAGTTTTAAATCTCATGACCTCACGGAGTAGTTTTTGTGTGTTTGAGATTTTAAGCAGCCTTATGTGGAGTCCTAACCACAGGGTACACAAATATCATTAGAGTCTGACGTTATTGTTTAGAAATAAAGTGTGATTTCTTTATGTCAAGTAAGGGTGCAAATACGTCTTTGTTAATTACCTCTGGGTGTGTCTTCCAGCCCTGAGTATGCAGGATGTGATTGTCATCGTTCTGAGTCTCAGTGTCATCGTGGTGACAGCCATCGCTCTCATCTTCTACAGGTAAACAGCAGACACATTTCACAGCTGTATCACAAGAGCTATGAGTAAGGCTGTGTATTGGAAAGAATCAGGCAATACGATTTGTATCACGATACAGGGGTTACGATTTAATATGTTGCGATATATTGAGATTTTAAAAATATCAAATTTTAGAAAAACTGTAAAGAACACACCACCACATGAATAAATTAAAAAACTATTTTATGCAAAAAAAGCCAATATCATAAAACAAAATATTGTGATACTCAAGTGTATCTATATTTTCTTATTCCCCCAGCTATGTGTAAAATGTGTAAAATGAGTGCTAGAATGCTGTCAGTGAAAAAAATGTGGTTTTAATTGCCGTTCAGGAAAAAAGACAATGAGAATCATCTCTTCCTCCATGTTTACGTTTGGTCAGCATGCCAGATAAAGCTGTAATGTAATTGTTTATCCCACATATCCCTTGTTCACGTTATGGATGTAATGTATTAACTGTATATGTATGTATGTGTTTGAATAATGATAGGCAGAACAGGAAAGAGCGTCTTATGCAGAAGAGGTGGTCTCATATTGACCCACATCTGATTGATCCACTGGATGAGAAGGAGGTCTCTCTGAAGGTAAATGGCCACAATCAATCACCTGTTTCCTACATGTTACAGTGACAAGCCAGGCTAAACCTTTCACTGACTACATTGAGATGAGGTAAAACTTTTAAAATGTTTACCTCAAAGACAAGAAAATTATTGAACTCCACGTCATATATTATATGATTCATGTAAGTGTATGTGTGTGCGTATATGTAACAGATTGATGAAGATAAGAGGAAGGACAGCACGTATTTCAATCACAGATGCCGCTATGACAAAAAGGTAACAACATTTCAACCTCTCAAAATAAATATGGAGTCATAGAGAGATGATCATGTCTGTCTGAGTGTGTCTTATTCCTCTGTATTCTTCAGCCTGTGATCTTGAAAGAGCTGAAGCAAACGGACGGAGACTTCACAGAAGACCAGAAGATTGAGCTTAACACTGTAAGCTTATTCCTTGTATATCAAACCTCTGAGTTTTTAAAGCATTACAGTAAGTGGACACTGTCCACTCTACTCTTTAATTTACTGTAGGTACATTTAAATGATCCTTTATGTCCCTCGTTTGAGGTGCTTTCCTGTTTCCTTTTTTAAATTTTCCCTTCATGTTACATTTACACACGCCTTTTCCCAACATAACATAGCATTTTTAATCGGTAGAGGATGCTCATGCTAAACTTGATGATAATTGATTATTCTAACTTTCTGTTTTTTCCAGTTGCATGCATTTTTCTGACAATACATTTGATTTTCCTCTCTAACATTATATAAAAGATATTCATGTCTGCTTTTAGATTATTTACTTAAACCCTTTCTATCCAATCTCCCTGTCCCTCTCAACCCTTCCTTTCACTCCCCCCCCCCCACCTCCATATCTTCTTGTTTCAGCTGCGGTGTATTGATTACTACAACCTGACCAAGTTCTACGGCACGGTGAAGTTTGAGTACGGTGTGTACGGGGTGTTTGAGCTCTGTCAGCGGGGCTCCCTCAGGGTAAGAGCAGACCGCCATTCACACAATCCTACTGTCTTGCTCTTTCAGATCCTGCTGCTGCCAGCTTTTGTTTGTTAGTGCAGTAGATCTAATACCCGTTTACAGATGTCAGTTAAATGTCAAAGTTATACAATGGGGTATGGAATAAGTGGTTAAATTTTTGTGTAGATCCACACATTTCATTGTGAGAAAGTCTGTTACAGGCCTACACACACGTTGTTTATTACAGAGCTCAGTGCCCCTCCTTCCCGCCACTGCTCACAATGACTTTTCTTTTCATATGATAAGTCGCAGACACACAGTTTTCAAAGCACTAGTAGTGTGTGCGTTAGTGCAAGTAATCACATTCACACACTCATACACAAAGCATTAACTGAGTGAGGCATGTAAGCAGAGTGGTAAAAGTGATAAAGTATGAACTTCTTTATCTGTTTTTTTCTAGTACATTCTGAATGACAGGATCTCCTACCCAGACGAAACCTTCATGGACATGGAGTTTAAGATATCAGTCATGTATGACATAGCAAAGGTATTGTTTTCTTTTCTTTTTTTGGATTTGGTTATGTTGGTGTGCCACATATCCTTACACTTATCTACCTCATTTAGCTGTTTTTTACTAAAAAGTAAATTCATTCCAGATCATTTCAGGATTTATTTTCATCAGCAATATTTACTAATTTTCAGCAGTATTTTTCCCATCAACATGGCCTGATTAATTTTTTTTTTTTTTTTTTTGGCAGTTTTCTCAGTGTATTTACTCACAATATATTTTAAAGGAGAGTAAGATGATAATACAAATATCAACTCAATCATCCTGGGTTAACCATCCTGCTCACTACTGTCCCCTTGCTTAACATGTTCTACAGGGTATGTCATATCTCCACTCCAGTAACATTCAGGTCCATGGTCGCCTCAAGTCCACCAACTGTGTAGTTGACAACCGCATGGTGGTCAAGATCACGGACTTTGGTTGTCACACCATCCTAAATCCTGGCAGAGGTAAGACTGGATTTTTCATCATCATTGCGGTCAGTTATTGATCCAAACACTGAGAATACCACAAACTCAACGTCTCTCCCCTCCTCTCCTCTCAGATTTGTGGACGGCCCCGGAGCATCTTCGTAAAGATGGTGTGTCTCAGAAAGGTGATGTCTACAGCTATGCCATCATTGCAGATGAGATCGTTAGGAGACGGGCCCCGTTCTATACACAGTGCTGCTCTGATCCTACAGGTAGGCTGGGATAATCTGGCACACCATTCAACTGTGATAAATAATAATAATAATGATCTTTACAAAACAAACAAAATTGAGAGAAAATTAACATATGACAATCAATTATTTTATTTAAAGAGGAGCTTTCTGTTCCTTTATAAAACTGGATTGGTTGTGTGATAATATCGGTGGACTGATTACAACAAAATCATTCAATTTAGACATTTGAGGTATTATGTTGGCTGTCTCAGCCCAAAATTTTGATTCTGATCCTGATCTACGATTGGTTGTTGATGCAGAACACCTTTTAGTTACTAGTCTTTATTGAACAAGGGCTATACACAAAAACATGACATGGAAGATTTATGCAAGATTTAGACATTAGCTATTTCCACTTGCAGTTCCTGGACAGGTACAAGCCCTCACAGACCACACACTGCTCATTTTGATTAACTAAATGTCATCTAATCCCTCAGAGAAGATATATAGAGTGCAGTTTCCCAGTGGGACGAGCGTCTTCAGGCCTGACCTCAACTTTGAGGGTGCATCAGAGAGGGAGATCGAGGTAAGAGAGCCACTAAACGTTGTGGAAGATATTTGTTGTTAGAGTGACACAGTGAGCATGATGGTTAATAAAATAAAGCTGCTTGGGCTCATCAGAGTTAAATAAAGAAAGCCATACTCTCCCTCCCTCCCTCTTCTTTTCTCTCTGTCCGTGTGTGTTGTTTTCTGTGTATACAGCTGCACACGTTGATAAAAAATTGCTGGGATGAAGAACCAGAACGGAGGCCAGATTTTAAGAGAATAGAGTTATCTCTGGGTAAGATTTTCAGGTACGTCAACACCACACGTTTTTCCATTAATTAAAACTCAGTGGTCCAAACTATGAAAAACAGGGATGTCCACATACTTTTGGCCGTAGAGTGTATGTAGTTCTGTTTATTGCTATGAGATAATTCCTGCTGCACAATTCTGTTGCATGATGATTAATTCATTAAATTATATAAATAGTAACGTAATATATTTTTCCTTTGACACAGTAATCTGCACAACCAGGCCACTGAGACATACATGGACAACCTGATCCGTCGCCTGCAGATGTACTCCAGGACTCTAGAGCGTCTGGTGGAGGAGAGAACCTCCTTGTACAAAGCTGAGAGGGACAGAGCGGATCGCCTCAACTTTATGCTACTTCCTGGGTAGGTTATATTGTATTTGTTGATACATAAAAGAAGGCGGTTAAAAACAGGGACGTATTTTAAAGCTATACTAATTAATTATTTAAGTTTACAAAGAATCAAATGGCTAAGTGATAGATATTTTATTGATCCAGAGGGAAAGTTTGGGATCCAGGGGATTATACACGACACAGACAAAGAACAGATAGGCATACACATAGGAATATAAGAATAAAAACATGAGAATAAAGACACTGCAGTGAATGGAGACTCTAGCCACCCGAACTGCCCTTTGCATAAATGTAACTGATATTAATCGTATTAAAAGCCAATCAGTTAACATCAATATTTTCCACTCTCCCTGTGTCTCCTCAGCCCAGTGGTGCGTTCCTTGAAGGAGACGGGCAGAGTGAAACCAGAGCTGTTTGAGGAGGTGACCATCTATTTTAGCGACATTGTGGGATTCACCACCCTCTGCCACTACAGCACCCCCATGGAGGTGGTCGACATGCTCAACGACATCTACAAGAACTTTGACAGCATCCTTGACCACCATGACGTCTACAAGGTATGAAAGTCTGAATTCAGGCTTGGGTCCTTTATAATGTCCTGTTTAACCAGTTAGCCAAAGTGGTTAAACAGACCCATCTTGTATAGAACTTAGATTTAAGTTAAGTTAAAACTCAAAAGCAGTTAAACTTAGAGTTTGATTGGTATTTATGGCTGATTATTTCAGTACTTTTTTACAGATATATAACTTACTTTAATACAGATAATGTTTTTATTAATAAAAAGATCCATCCATTGTATCTCAGGTTGAGACCATAGGAGATGCATACATGGTTGCATCAGGTTTGCCCAAACGCAACGGCGACAGGCATGCAGTGGACATCGCCCTCATGGCCCTGGACATGTTGGCTTTTGTAGGGACGTTTGAGTTGCTGCACCTGCCTGGCATCCCTCTGTGGATCCGTATTGGTGTGCATTCAGGTAAATTGAACATTTTTGAAATGAGGTATATTTTATGGTAATAGAAGTGCATTATTTTTTTGTCACATGAAAGCGCAGCACATATTTTAAAAGAGGTCGTCAAGGCAACATAATATGAATCCATAGAAGGGGCAAACTTGCAAATATGAGTCAAAATATATAAATGCCCAAATAACATAAATAAACCTAAATAGAGTAGATTAATTAAACAGCTTGCAGAACTATTAACAAAATTCCTTTTGTCTCCATTTTATTTATACTCTTTTCTTCTTAAATATAACTGAGAACAGCGTGACTTCACATGTCTGTGGGAAAGACTCACATACATTTAATAATTGAAGGAAGGGTTCCAATAGTAAGCCAACAGTAGGTGGCAATAACGCACTGTTACAATGCCAACCATTTAATTACAAGAAAAAGAGAAAGTCCAAGCAATTTTTCTTCTTGACTGTAATAATGTCAGGGAATAGGTGGCTCAATAATATAAATAATGAGCCAGGATAAATCAGACACACATTTCTCTATATTATAGGTGTTATAAATTATCCCAAATGTTTTGTGCAGAACAGAAAATGTGTGAGAACATGTAAAATAAGAAAAGTGACTTAATCAATTAACTGCATTTAAATTATAAATCACACATGAATTCTTACTTGTGTGAATTTGTGTGTAGGGCCGTGTGCAGCAGGAGTAGTGGGGAACAAAATGCCTCGCTATTGTCTTTTTGGAGATACAGTCAACACTGCTTCACGCATGGAGTCCACAGGCCTGCGTAAGAGACAACACACACTCATACACACATTTTATGAGAGAGAGTTTAAGAGAGCTGAGGGTTTGACTCTTATGATTTTCTTTCATGTTGTCTTTCCAGCTCTGAGGATTCATGTCAGTCAGTCCACCATCAGCATCCTGCAGAGGACAGACTGCAAGTTTGAGTATGAAAAAAGAGGAGAGACATACCTGAAGGTGAGCTGGGTTCGCTTTGGCTTTTTATGTACTAATCTATTCAGGCATTTACATCAAATTTGAACCTTACAGATAGTGACTACTACTTTCATGTGCTGTGTGTGTGTCCGTCCATGTGTTCCTGACCCACAGGGTAAAGGCAAAGAGATGACATACTGGTTAACAGGAGTGACTGGGGGGAAATACAACCTCCCGACACCACCAACAGCGTGAGTCTAGATTTACTCCAAACACTTCTCTTAGACAAACTCTGACAACATACGGTATCTACGACTACTGAAAGATGCACTCTGGCCCCCAAATCCCAACTTTTGCTTCAAGCCCACTATTGATGTGTCCAGATACAAAACAGTGAGCTTGGTAGAAAGTTGGGATATAATGGGACCTTAACAAAATCAGGGAGTATGTCAATTCAATTAATTTTTATTTTAACACCTTTCATATAGAGCAGGTCTATTATTATTAGATTAAATCTATTATTTACAGTGAGGAGGATAATGATAACAGCAATAATAATGATGATAATGTAGAACTTCAGTTTAGTGTTAGTGTAGAGTTTAACATCAGAAAATTCAGAGCAGGTCATCCAAGTGTGTATGTCCTTAAGGCATGCTTGTAATTTAGTTAATTGATTAGTTTTATCTGCGTTCATCAATAAAATAATTAATAATAATTAGGCATCTTCTGGTTAATAATGAAGGTTAATGGAGTGATTCCTAATAATGTCCCCTAAAGAAAGCATAGCATAATATAAGATTGATAGAATTGGTCCAAGCACAGAACCTTGAGGAACTCCTGAACTAACTTTGGCATTCATAGAGGATTAATAGTAAATATGTACAAACTGAGATTGATTTGATAAATTATTATTATTATTTAAATAAATATATGTAAAACAGTTCACATAGTACATAGTGAGTCTAACGCTTCATTATGTTGCTTAATGAATTGTATTGTCTCTGTCAATTTACTTGCCAATCAGCACTAACAGCATCATCTTATGTTATTGTGGAGGGACATCATTCACAGGTTTAGTTTCTCTCATGTGCATATAATCTTCATGTTTCTGTCTCAGGGAAAACTTCCAGCGACTCCAGCAGGACCTGGCGGAGATGATTGTGTCCAGTCTGGAGAAGCGTGGAGACGGGAGCGAGCGCTTCAAAAAGACCCTGTCTACCAAAGTCCGCCGGAGGGAGACCAACAGCAGCATGCAGGGGGACAGTCCACCAGACTACTTCCACCTGGCTGTCACTGACAACCCCAGTACCTATCTGTGATTACAGTAGAGCTCTCCGTACAATATCCAAGGAGTGGCCAATGTAGAGTTGCGTCCTAGCCTGTAAGCTGTCTGAATCAGCACTGCTGTGGACAGCTCTGTTCACTCAGGGGGTGTAGTGACAGTTAAGCAGCAGTGGAACAAGCAAGCATGTTAAAAATGACACTTATGTGTAGATGTAATGATCAACGTGCCTGCCACAGAGTCTCAGTTCTCTTGTTCACCGTTGATGCTTCTCCCCCTCAATACCCACCCCTCTGTCACATTAAATGTTGTTTTAGTCAAAGTATTCACTAAAAGGAACAATCCACCCACAGATACCGTTATAAGTCAGTCAAGACGTTTGTTGTGGTGAAGGAAGTGCGCTAACTAAGCTCCCTCCTCTTTTATTGTGTGGGACTAACACATTTTCCCACATTTTTTTCATCAACATCACTTAGCTGTGTACTGATTTGACCTGTTATTCATGGGAATAAGAAATGAACCAAACATTAAAACTAGCCTAAAGAGTAGCAAACACATAGGCAACGTTTTAACAATATGAAACAAAATTGTCTTATGAGGCTCACTTTATGAGGGGTTTATTAGCTGCTGTCTGCCACTGTGTTTATTTTAATACTACTACTTGGAGGACAAAGTCAGACATTTTCAAATTCTACAAATAATGGTTAGAAATTGGACCCGGAAACTCCTGGGCTGTGGACAATGATGTCACATCACAACCACATGGATCTTAGAGTCCTTCTTTGAGATCTATTAGGAAAACCACATGGTCAATTCTCTCCAAAAGGATTCCAAATAATGCGAGATAATTAAATGTACTCTTCTTAACTTTACTTTGAACAGTTTTCCGTTTATGTTTAGCTGTTGCCTGCAGGATGTGCATTGATTAAGAAAGTTTGACAAAATTATTTACCATGTAAATAGCCTTTTCTGCTGCAAAGACAGTGAAACTATATCTAAACACTACTTGTCATACTATGGCGGAGAGCTGAGAATATTTCTCTTTCACAGCACAACAATGCTACCTTGTTTTCAGAACATCAGAAATATTTCTGTGATGATTTTGGTTTTGTGTTTTATTAAATGATATTTGAAATATGGCATAAGATTCAGAGTAGTTCTTTGTTGTGTCTTTTAACAACACTTTGCAGTAAAGTACTACACACAGTCAAGCAGTGCAGAGAAATAAAACAACAGCTGTAGACAATTCAGTAAAAAAACATAGAAAATGGTAGAAAAATATTTCAAACATTTGGATAAAAACTTGGGAAAAGTCATTACACTAAGCACAACGTGCAGTTCCTAGTAGTAGGAAAACATTTTTAAGAGCACACACACCGGCCTACATAGTTTTAGTTGTAACTAATGCAGTGCCACCCAGCTCTGTGGCAGGAAGTGGGATCCTGTGTTCGCTGATTGTGCTGCATGTAGACGTAGGCAGCTCCCCCCACCTCTCTGTCCCAGCATGCTTTGCGGGGTCCCTGTAAGCGATCAAGCCCTCCTCCCTCTGTAAGCCAGTTTGGGCACCCAGGTGCAGGCGAGAACAGGGTGAAGGGGCCCCTGCTGCTCTCTGCATCATCTCTGTATGACTGTTTCTTTGTGAAGGCAGTGAGTGGATTATGGCAGGTGTTTTCTTAAGAGGCTCCCGTTGCAGCTCTGCATCCTCTGCAGCACAAAGAACTGAGACTGAGTCACTGAAAATTTTAATTTAATTAAACATATATATATAGTGCCTAAAATGATCTTCTTGAAGACACATGCAGATCTTAAGATTCAAGTCAAGCACTGATTTCTCACTGATTGAGATCATATAACACTCACACAGAATACACTATAGAACATGATCAGCAAATGCCACACAACCACACACATCCAGTATATCAACATATTAACCCTCTACTGAAAGATTGGGGTATATGAATCAAAGAATTGAACATCCTCTTCAAGAAACAAGACCCCCCAAAATAATCTTAATTTAAAAAAAATCCAGCAACCAGGTTCATATTACATCATAATACATCACTGTGAATAGTATGTGCCTCCCTGCACAATGCTGCATTGTGTTTAGGAATATATAGACAAAATACAATTTGTCTTTAAACCAGAAATTATGCTTCTTATGAGATTCATGCACATGCTTGTATTTAAAAAAAAAAAAGTTATCATCATTTTAAGGCGGCTATAAAGGATATAAGGGTCAAAATGACTTTCAGTTGCCTCAGGGCAGAAATATGCAGCAGAGGTTTTTATTGTATTCATATATCTATAAAACACTGTATTCCTTGAATATAGGGTGATGAATGTGCATTATAACATTTGACAAATGTGATTTTTTAAAAATACTAATGTACATCTGTTTTATGTTGCCTATACATCAGTGTATATTGTTTCTAGTATACTGGGGAAGAAAATAGTTAAGATACTTATATCAGATGATTTCCTTGAAATGTCATATTTCTATATTGTCATTATTTAGTCAACTAGTGTAAAAAGAAAATCGTTTAAATATTACAAGACAAGCATCAGACAACAATAATGATTTGTTTTACAACAGCTAAGTGGGTAAAGCTGAATACCTCCAACTCTGCTAATCGAGTTTTTTGCATTCCTGGTTGTCCTGAGGATTAATGTCTATTGACAGACAATTGACTCAATGAGGACAAAAGCATGCTACTGATAATGTGAATTTAGTTTCTCCTCAGTCCTGAGAGTTTTTATTAAACTCGGTTAGGACAGCAAAGGAGCTGCATTCCAGAGGAATAAAATTATAGTCATGATCATGCACAAAAGCTCAAGCTTTTCAGTCTGACTTTCTCACTTACTGCTATGTAAGGATTGGGGTAGAACATTTTGAAAAATATAGTTAAACATTGCATTTTAATGTATTTTGAGAGTAACAGTAATCACTTAGGAAATCATATCCATATGCAAGATGAAAATTGTACTGTAGCCTACTGCCCAGCTTGTTTTTTTTTTTTCATTTTCGGGTGTGGGGTACTCAGGCAGGGTTGCTACAACCACTAAAAATGATGTGTTCAATACAAGGGAAGGAACAGGTGCTGGAAATTATGATTTATATTAAATTATAATTTGATTCAACCTCATTTCTTATTTCTCTTCTTAAATAAAATCATGTAAATGTGATTCTTGTTTGCAATAAAATAAAAAGATGAGGTAATTCTCATTATTGATCAATGAATTATAGTGATAAATGAGTGAGATCCCTGAAACATTTTGGTAATAATCACTGGACACACAACTATCTGTTGTTCCTGTACATTCACACAAACCTCTTCCAAGGTAAGGACCATTTCTGGAGTAAGCCAATAAACAGACAGCGTGACTGCAGCAAAGTAGGCTAATTGTTTTTTTGAAGCTGAAGCTGTGCTTTGTAACTTTATTATACTGTATTAGCCTATTTACCATTGTGAATATTTTTGCCACTGAAAATGTCAAAGCCAGCACTGTTTGTTTGCTCAGATCTTAAATGCACTTGCTGCTTCTGTTCCTGTGGTGTAACTCTGGGCTTACTTGTAGGAGTATGTAGTGAGCACTATTATCCAGGCCTAACATTCATGGCATTGACCAATCTTGCTCTGAGAGGTAGGCTATGTAACTGGAGTGCTCATCCTTATTATTGCCATTCTATACCAAATAGCTATAACACTATGACCACCTGGGCACCCATCAACTCGAGGGCAAAATGTTCACTTGCTGCCTAATATATCCCACCCACTGACAGGTGCCATGATATCCATACAATCAGTGTTAATCACTTCACCTGTCAGTGGTCATAATGTTATGGCTGATCAGTGTATTATTCCGATAATGTTCCTATTATCTTTTTGTATCATCCATATTGCCAATACCATATTGATAAAGCAACTTAAGGTTACCTTTTTTTTTTTAAGGTAACAGTTTTGACTGTTGTGGAGTGTTGCATGTATGTAGGTTACAACTGTAACTGTGCCTTCGTTCTCAACACACTAAATTGTCTTAGCAATTCGTCACTTTAACTTAACATTGAAAAATAAATAAAATTACAGAGACATGACCTCAGTGTCTTCAATGGTAGCTACGGGGCTGCACCAACAGCTTTCAAGTATCTGGCTTTATTGATATAAGATGAAGTCTCTCTGTCCACCAGGCCACACTTCTTACATAAAGCTGTTATACGACTGAGTGCAAGATTTTCTGCTTTTAGTAGCTCTCTGTCAGTTTATGTGTTTTCAAGATCATGAGGCCTAACCAACGGATGCATGTTGAAGCAAGAATAGCTGGTAAGAGAGAGGGGCTGACCCATGGGACGCCTGAGAAGAAGAGAACAGAAACTGTGGAGTTTCTACTGTGATGAACGTCACACTTCATCACCTGCCTGCCTGCAACCCCACTTCCTCCACACTACTCTCAGATGCCTGCTCTGCATGTCAGCCCCCCTGTTAACCGTAAGAAAAATGGCCCCCACTGGATGAACACATAAAAACTACATGTTGTCCTAACGTGAAATACCTCACTAAAAAGAGAATTAATCCAAGACATGGAAGATCAATAACTATCTCTGGAATTATTTTCTTCATTCACCTGGCACATTATAGTGTCGGATTTGACTATCTATATATGACTATGACTATAGTCTATTCCAGCAGCTGCTTCTATAAAGCTTTAGGCATTTAAACGTTGATACTGACAGAATAACGTGTTTTTAAATCCTGTTTAATGCAAGACATTTTCTACTGTCTTTTCCCAAAAATTACACTTGTGAGAGCAGAGAAACTACAGAAACAGCTTTCAAACCATTATGTTGCACTCAAACTCTAAAACTGAGGAAAGAATGCAAAAAGAAACCCTCCTATCAGCTGCTGGGATATGTTGGCCTTTATTTGAAGAATCCATTCATAAAGAATAAAACTGAACATGAATAATCCAGTTAATAATGTCAGTTGTCGTTACCTGAGGTGCTGCTGAGGCCGGTCTGTCGTCTGTATATGATAAACCAGAGAGTCAGAGCCAAGATGGACCCCAGTGTTGCCAGCACCACAAAGATCCACAGTGCTGGACTGAACACCATCACTGGGTTGACCTGGAAAGTTTTGGAAATGCGGGCCGTGGGTCTCAGCGTGACCACAACAGCCAGAAGCGGTTCTGAGGGAAACAGACAGATTAACTACCTCAACAGAAAAACAGTTTAGACTCTCAACAGCAGTAAACATCCACTATACCGTACGATAAAGGAGCATGGCTACAGTAAGGACCAAAACTTAAAAATAAAAATAATTAAAGCTGCAAGCAGCGTTGGGCAGGACCTCGCACTCCACGCAACTCGGGGTTTGCTTACTTTCTGTTGCCAGTAGGTGGCGCTATCACTATGTCTGAATATTATCATGTGTTCAAGGCGAGACAGTTATCAAACACGTTAAGTTTCATTGAGATTGGACCAAGAACAGTGAAGTTGTGAGGACTGAGTTTATCATGTTAGTTATGAGTACTATCTGTTTCATGGCCAATCGGCGGAATTCAACACATCGTCACGGGCATGCGGTTCGACATACAGTCACAAATAGCACAACTTTTAATCAGCAACATTTCCTATCTGAACTGACCAATTTTGAAGTAGATCCGATGAATTCCCTAGGAGGAGTTTGTTCAAATACGACGCAAAAAATCTCTGAAAAAGGCTGCAAAATTCAACGTGGCCAACTTTGACGGCATGCCCTTCAACGTACATGCACAAATAGCACAACTTTTAATCAGCACCGCTTTTTGACCGTACTGACAAATTTTGAAGCAGATGCAATCAATTCCCTAGGAGGAGTTCATTCAAATACAACGCGAAAAGTTCGCCGAAAGTGAAAATGAAAATCAAAATGGCTTCCTGTGGGGTTTGGGGTATGGGTCCAAAAGGCTTTTTTGTACGTCTTGGCATGTTACACGTGCCTACCGAGTTTCATACATATTGGTGAAACGTGACGCTGGGGCTGCTTTTTAAAAATCCTGTAGGGGGCGCTACAAACACGACAAACACGATTTTTGGTATGTGACATACAGGCACTACTCTACACGTACCCTGTGAATTTCATATTCATAACTATTACGGTCTCCGCACAGTGATGTACCCTGCCACCAGAGCGCCACCTAGGATTGTTGACACATTTATTAGTGAGCCTCATGGAGCCATGGGCAAGCATCGTAGCAAGTTTCATTTAAATCACATGTGCTGATGCGGAGATATATACTTTCTCCACCTTGTGGCGATGGGCTGAAATTGTGCACGATGCCTAAGGAAGACATGGGGAACTATGGACCTAAGCTTGGTGTCAATCGGACATACCAATGTGGAGAAATGCTCCACTTCCTTTTTTGACGAAAAATCCACAGGAAGTGTTAATTTAATAACGTGCTTATTTTTTTAAATATCAAAATTCTTTGAATTACTTTTTTATTAGGATGGTCCCCACATGCTATGTGAAAAGTTTTGTACGAATCGGACGAAGTGCGTAGGAGGAACACGAAAAAGGAGTTTATGGACATTTCGCGCTCCAGGAAGAAAAATTATAGGGGGAAGTGGGCGTGGCCTATATGGGGAGATTCAGCTCCATTCACCGAACGCATTGGTTTTTGAATGTGCGACAAATGATGTGGGAGTTATTAGCCTAAACGCACCATTCATTATAGTAGCGCCACCTAGTGGCGGACCTGAAAGTGACACATAGAATATAAAATTTTTCACCAGGCCTGACCACTCTGCCAAATAAAATTGAGTTTTCGTATATGTTCAGGGGGGCAAAAACTCAATCAAAGGCGCTAAAAATAATAATAATAGGTAAGAATAATAAGAAACATAGCAAATACAATAGGGACCTCCAGCGGTCGCTGGCTCGGTCCCTAATAAAGTGTTTAAGATCAACAGATGTATTTATCATACAGACAACTAAATAATGTCAGTTTTTAACTAATCAGTTTATAGATTGAAGTCCTTTAGCAGCTGTACACAGGTATAATCATCTTACTGCTTTGCATTACAGAGGAGAAAATGAATACAGGTCAGGTGGAGGTTTTAGATAGCCAGGAAGAATTCAAGTCAACATCAAGTGGCCAAGAAATGTCAAGTCAAAATAGGTTCAAAGAAGTTTTGAGACTAAAACCTTAAGGAGGCAGATTAAAAAATAGAAAAAATAAACTCACCTGTTGGTGGTTGAGGTTCAGCTTTGGTTTGTGACTTGCTGGGGATACAAGTGTTGAGGAGGGTGTCCCAGTGGCTGCCAGAAGGACACCTTGGTTTGGTTTGTGTCTTGTTGGGGATACAAGTGTTGAGGAGGGTGTCCCAGTGGCTGCCAGAAGGGCACTTTGGTTTGGTTGGTGTCTTGCTGGGGATACAGGTTTTGAAGAGGGTGTCCCAGTGGCTGCCAGTAGGACACTTTGGTTTGGTTGGTGTCTTGCTGGGGAAACAGGTGTTAAGGAGGCCATCCCAATGGCTGCCAGCAGGACAGTCTTTCTTGGCCATGGCTGAAGGTAGGATGAGCAAGGTGGAGACCTGCTGCACTGTTTGCCTGCCCTACACTTGTGTTTGTGACACAAACAGAGAACTGTGAGACACAGAGGAGAGATGTGATAGGAGGATTTATGAAACAAATGCAGAGTGCCTAACAGACGTTTCAGTTCCTCCATTTCATAGGAAAGGGTGAATCACTACATGGGTCCCTGGGGGGCAAGAGAGAGAGAGAGACAGAGAGAAAGAAAGAGAGAGAGAAATATGTAATATATGTATATTATATACATATTATGTACATATAATACATATAATATATAATATGTATTGTATATTTTAAATATGCAATATGGAAATATGTACTTTGTTAATTGCTTTGGTAACATGTTTCTGTTGATGCGAATAAAGCTCTTTGAATTGAAACTTGAATTTGGAGACAGAGAGAGAGAGAGACGGAGAGAGAGAAAGAGACAGAGAGACACAGAGAGAGAGACAGAGCCTGAGAGAGAGAGAGACAGAGACACAGAGAAAAAGAGAGACACAGAGAGATAGAGAGAGAGAGAGACGGAGACACAGAGAGAGCACATGCACGCAAACACACACACACACACACACACACACACTGTATATAACTAATATAATGTTCATACTGTATATATCTTTGATTTATTGTATTGTATTTAATTGCTTTGCTTTGGCAATATTGTTTTTTAAAAAACTTTCATGCCAATAAAGCCCATTTTGAATTTGAATTGAGAGAGAGAGAGAGAGAGAGAGAGAGAGAGAGAGAGAGAGAGAGAGAGAGCTTACTGAGGTCCTGACCTTCAAGTTCCTTAAAGTCCAGGTGAAACGGAGATCAGAGAGTGCTGTTTTCTTCCGCATATTTACGTATTTCCTGTACAGACAGTACTTGTGTGGGTAGCCAATAGTGCTGTGTGTTATGGTCCTATTATTATTATTATCTGCCCCGACTGGAGGCTCCCAGTGAAGAAGTTAACCAAAGAATCTTCAAAAGTTATAACTCAAGTGTATCCTTGAATCATAAAAATATTATATGACTGGTGATTCATGATCATTTTACAGTTTGCCACATTAATGGTTGGCATATTGATTTATTACAACTCTTTATTAGTTGTTCTACAGATTACTATCATGACTGCAGATCAGATTTAGTTCCTGTTTGTCTGACAGCAACAGCTCCAGCTCTTATTCACTATTGAGACCACAGCCTTTTAAAACATCAAATCTCTCTCCCATGCAATGCAGGTTTGCATACCCTATATACTAATATTTGTTGCACTAAATCATACAGAGGCAGCCGTGGGGCTCCACAATTACTAATCAAAATTTTCTGACAAGAATTTCTCCATAATGTCTTGTTATTGAAAGCACTTTCTGTTAAGAAACTCTTAAGTGAAGTAAGTGATGGTGTTTTTAAAACAGGAACAATATTGCTTGAATGCACAAGCTGGGTCATGAATCTCCCACAACACAGATCAGCTGGCACTGGTGAAAATAAGTCACTGTTGCACAAGACAAGATTGAAGACAGGGCTACACCGGCACAACTGTAAAACTTTAATAAACATTTAACACTTGAGAAGATGGCATGATACAGTGCAGTATTACACGTTATATTACAAAAAACAGAAGCTTACACAAAAATACAAACCTGAGAGATCTTTATTTTGCACAGCATAAGAAATAGATGCACATAAATCACAGCATCAGAGAAGCCCTGAGTATGACATTGCACTGATATAGTGTTCGCATGTAGGAAGAAATTTAAGCATTTAAAACAAAAGGATTAAAGACGGTATAACCACTGATTTAGTGCATTTATTCTGTATTTTTAAAATCAAGTTGTGTTCGAGGCACATATGGCTGCAACTGATTTCTACGGTATTACAAAGCAAATCATCCAACATACCCTGAGACATGTAAGTGTTAAAAAACTGAACTGAACTGGCAGTTTGATTCGATTATCAGGTGGAAGGAAATATGGTTACGTAGGATTTAAAAAGAAAGCATATGTTGGTGGGATGCAACTCTGAACTGTAAGCAACAGTTAAAATAAAAAATAACCATTGTGCAGATTGTACCTTTGACCCTCATCATTCATTATTCTTAGAGCATCAGACAGAAGGCATCTGTCTTTGTCTCACTCACAAACACACACACACCTCATGGCTTGAAGAGAAGAGGCTGCATCTTGACGAAGGTGAAGTTGTAGTACCGCGGCAGGCCCTGGTGGCTGATGCTGCTGAATTTATCCCAAATGAAAGGCGGGAGTCCGTCCTGTGTCGTTGGCCCGTTCACCGCCTCCGCACGGAAGTCCCCAGCCATGAGGAAATCTGTTACCTGGATGAATAAAAAGCGTAGGAACCATAGAAAATCATCCAAAAAGCATTTGATTTTACACTTAAGTGACCTCTCTTACTGTGATGCAAGATCAGTGCGGTGACAGGGCATTACCTTAGTGTCATAGCAACCTCCTGGTGAAGGCTTCACTGCCCTCAGGTCCCCACGGCAGCAAATGGACTTGCAGGGGTCACCCTTGGAGTAGGGATCCTTCTTGTAGTCTGAAAACAAGCAAACAAACAAACAGAAATGGTAACAAACACATTGCACATATACAAGTCTGTTCTGGGCTAATAAGTAGATCTTTATTTAAAATGTGGGACCAACATTATTTGACAAAAAATCCTGATTTCCTGGCAAAGCTAGAGGGCGCTGCTCTCAAACCACAACTGGATCAATCAATAAAGATGTCACATTGTTTGATTACAGTAACGCTAAATGCAGATCAGGGCTAATTTAATCGTTGTGGAAAAATAAGAAATGCAGGTTCCAGTTGATTTGTAGAACCAGCTATATGTGGGTCATACAAACTAATAAAATAGCACAGTGCCACATACCATTAAATCTCATGATGTGCTTCAAGGAGTCCAGGTCCTTGACATCAGCCTGGTCACGGCGGAAGATCTTGGCTCTGGGACAAAGATCATAAGAGAAGTCCTCTCCATGCTCCTCCCACATTTGTCCATAACCACTCATCATGTAGATCTCCTGGTGAAAGGGGATGTTGTAGGACGGCCAGTAACCTGTTACAGACAGAGGCAGCAGGAATGATAAACTTGACACACGTCCAACGTAACAAATACTGTAGAAAAAAGAAAACAAGATCTGTTGTTACCTCTCCGCAGAGCCTGTGTCTGGTCAGAGTGCTCCACCAGCCCAGGGATCTGCTCCACCACAGTCAGAGCACCTTCATCAATACTCTGGCCCAGCTTCACTTTGCTCCTGTCCAACACCATGTACTGGTTGTTGTAGGTACCTACAGGAGTGGTGGTGGGGGTGGGGGGGAATATAAGATGAGTGGGGCAAAAGCTAACAACTCTGTAAAATGATGTGATGTTATCAGTTTGGGTATTTTAAGGCTTCTGATCAGATCTCCACAATGAGTTTAAAATCACTCTGCTGCTCACATATTTCCCCGTCTATGTTACAGTATCGTTTTGTATATTAAATCAGCCGTTCATGCCAAATTCACAAAATCCTTTTAAAAATATTCACAAAGTTTTGCATGACACAGGCAAACCTTTCAGCTCAATTTGAGCTTTCTGCTGCACTGCTATACATGTAATGTAACACTGACAAAAGCAAAAGGCAGACATGATGCTTATGGTGATGAATTACTGATGCTGAAGTTCCACATTCAGACAGGGGATTTAATACCAAACGCAAATCCTGATTTGAGGATTACGATCAGTCACATCTCAATTCTCTTCCATTTTTAAAAGAGCAGTCCACCGATCTAGCATTGCACTTCTATAACAAAAAGGGATTAAAATCAATGCAGCAGAAAGAGAGTTATCGCCTTTTTTATTCCACACATTCTTATACTGCATGAAGACCGATAAGCTCTGATAACATGATGACGTGTCTCCACCTCCACAACCCCAGATTTTCCATATCATTTAGAAACTTGTATTTAACCAACACGACCGTTGCTGATTCAAGTGATGTTACTTAAAGTAATTTATCAGTCTTCACACATCCCTCTGGAGCCACAAAAGGCTTTTTACAACTTTTTTCACTTATGCAGTCGTACTCCACAAGACCTGTAAACATACTTGGATGTGTAAAATCAGTGGAGTTACCCGTTAGGTATCGGCTTAAGTATTCAAACGGCTGCCTGGAATGTAAAATTAATGAATTAACGTCTAATACACTGGTATGCTTTGAAAGCTTTAGCTAGCTTGAGCTTGTGTAAAGTATTTATTCATTTAGTACTTTAACATTCAGTTTTATTGATTTGCTTCAGATAAAATGGTGTTTTATTATATTTCATTGGTTTATGGTGTGTCTGTATGTCTCTTAGTGTTACTGCTGTTTTGTAAAATCGTTTGTAACTGTGCTTAGACACTCACAAATATATAATCACTCACCAGAGTTGTACTTGGAGAAGGTTTTGGCCCACTCTTCTCCGGTATGTGCCAAACTGTGAGCCAGCCTGACCCTCTGCCACGCCAGCAGGCTGTTGGGGGTGATTTGGTCAAAAAGGGAGGAGTTGAAGACATTGTTTGTGGTCTGGGTCATCATCAGACCACTGCCCAAAAGGTAGAAGTCATCCAGAGACACCAGGAAACCTGAAGAGAAAATAAAGACGATTTCTGACAATCTTCACAAACAAGCCAAAGTTGCAATCACAGTTATATGGAACAACTGATTGCAAATTGCTACACTTTCACTGCTGTACTTCTTATCTATGAATAATTGTTGCTACATACCAGGGTAGCTGCTGAAGGAGAGTTTCCCAGTGGCTGCGTGGGGCTCAGTGATATGGAAATCCCAGTGTTTGTAGATCCGCATTGTGGCAGCATACGTGTACCAGCTGGAGTGGGCAAACAGGAGGTTCTCATAGCCAGGCAGCATCTGTGGGTAAGGACAGAAAACAGCAAACTGGAGTTAGGTTAAACAGACAGTGTGGTATTTGTGTCAGTAGAAATCACTGGAATTTGGGTCAGTTTGAATTAGATTAGAAAAAGTAGTTTTTCTTGACACAGCACCTCAGCACCATGCTTCATGCAATGACCCACTTTAACACAGCACAATACTGAACTCCTCACAGAGTTTTCATATTAGGGTCTATTTCTTAACCAACACAATGCACATTTTCACTAACATAAGTCTGTGTGGGAGCTCTTTGTTTATGTAGTATATTAAATTACATACACTCTCTGCGAACAATATGGCTTGTTTTCCTGGTGTGGGTGTTAAAAATGGTCACAGAGGAGGAATCTGCACTTTTATAGACTAAATTCTTCACTGATGCAAAGAGAGAGCTTTAAGAAGAGGATGGGAAGATTTTAAATAAGTATGCACAAAGAATAATATTCTCCTGCTGTGAACCAGTACATCTGTTTACACAGGAAATTCATTCACTATTGGTAGTTGCTTATATAGAGTATGTAGCAGGCCTTACACCCTGACTGGAACATGTTTTGACTTCTGACCTTGATGAGTGCAGAGCAGTGCCCCATCCCGGGAAGTTTAAAGTCTCTGAGCAGATGGTTGGAAGTGGGGACCAAGGCTGGGATCAGATCCAGGAGGTCTCCCACTGCATTCAGGAACTGGACGTCAAACAGGGACATCGGCTATGGGAAGGACATCAGATAAACAGCTGTTGGTCAACGATTGAAAATGAATAGTATGAAAAATAACTCACTTACAAAACAACTGACAAGCTTAGAATCACTGAAATCCAGACTTTTCATACCAAATCTGCACAATAATCTCTTATTAACCTTAAACTGTGTGTTTCATACACAGAACATTGATGAGAAACACAATGGTTCTGGATGATCTGGCTCGGAGGAAGCATGTATATTGAGAACAACAGAGGGCCAAGAATGGACCATTGAGGGACACCACAGTTAAAATCAACAACAGCGTTGAGGTTGAAGTACCAGTCTGTCTATTTTTAGCCAAAACAATAATAAAATTGTTGTTCCTTTGAGGTCTTCACTAAAACACACAATAAAGGTGCAGAGCTTGTCATAAGGAAGCTTAAAACCTCAAAATGAAATAAAATTACCAAAGGAAATAAGAGGGCATTTACAGGCTTCTGGTGCATGTAAAAGAGAAGTGCTGTTCTCAGCTTCTATAGACACTAAGCTATGGCCATCATACCTTTTTCCCTTTTTTCTTGGCCCAGTCTGCAACTCCTGCCTGCAGCCCGTCCATCTGGGCTACGATGAAGCCTGTGTGTTTCCACAGAGGATCAGAGCTCTTGTTCAGTTTCACCTGCTCTCTGGTCCATGCGTCCTGCTTCCTACAAGAGAGACATCTGCTGTTTACTGTTGCCATTATAATCATTTACTGTATAACAATTAAAAGTAAAGAGCCAAACTGCTGAGTTCATTGCACCATCAAAAAAATCCAAAGTTATTAATCTGAAATTCTGTGTTCAACAAATAATAATCATGTCTATCTTCTCCTCTTCTTGCTGAATTTAATAATATGATTACTGCCAGGATTACAGAAAGGGCTTAAATGTCTGGCCACAGCATGCTCTGAGCTGGGTATATTATGAGCTGAACTAACTCTGAGAAGAGGATATGAAAGATGATGACAATGATGTGTGATTGTGTACTGTCACTGGTGTTGGTGCTGTGTTTTTTTATTTTTAAAAAGGAAAAGAGAACAGACTCACGCCATGAAACTCTGAACTGGGCCGAGGATCTCTGGGTTGTCGATCAGCTGCGGAAACATGTTGGTGTAGTGGTCCATCATCTGCCTGTGGAGGGAGAGTTCGTATGAATACTAAATTAATTTAATGAAAACAACAAAATGACAATATTTAGAATCGCAAGTGTTTTTCTATTGGGTCATGGGGGAGGCTGGTGGATCTCACTTATCAGTTGTTACAGAAGGTGTCAAAGGTCAAAATTGATCCAAGTTTCTTATCTTTGTTGAGTTTCTCACAACACAGCAATTGTAGTGGTCCCTTATCAACATACTGACCAACCAACCACCAATGTGATCACTGACTTTCGTTAGGATTTCAATATCAGATGTCTGCATGGAAGTAAGGATATTGTAGGAACAGCATGCATGGCAGCACCTTAATGACACTTACTGGGCAGTGAGGTAGCCTTCGAGGTAGCCAGCCAGGAAGAAAGTGAGCTCATCAGTTTCAGGGGTTTTTCCGTAACCGGCACGGATCTCTAGGATGCTCCAGCCTGAACTGGACAGGGTATCGTTCAGATACCCATATGCATCCCCCTCGGTCTCCAACACCCCCTCTTTCAGCTTGACCAGCTTATGTAGGGGGTCCCAGTATACCGTGGCTGCTGTCATCTCTGGGAAGACATCAAATGCCAATGCAGTTAGAGGATATAAACAAAACAAAATGGTTATCCAAGATCTGCCACAAAACAGTCATGTAGACTGATGGCTGTAAAACACAATAAAGTTAGGGAAACACTAACACTACTCCACTAATAGGGATATTGCTTTTTTTAAACTAACTATATATTGGTGCATCTATACATCTATATATTTTAGCTTGAGTGACACATGAGATCTGATTAGGGGTCACAAGACTTGATATCCCATGCACTAAAAATCTCATATACCCCTGTAAGTCTGTATTTTGTGTTAATATAGCTTTGTGGATATAGGGGAAACTGAAACTAAAAGATCCCAGTAGCAGCAGCCTTCGTGAGTTTGGGTAACAGTAGGTAAACAAAACACACTGAACATAAGCGGTAATCTCCGACAAACATTAAATAGAGCTGACAGAGAGTGTGAGTGAAAAACATTAATGCAGAATAGCATGCATGCTTATAGCCAACCAATGCTTGTTAAATGCTGAAAACTAGAGAAATTAGATCCTTATACAACCACCCGTGATTCACATGAAGTCGGCCTACTTACTGTCAGCAGAGGCGAAGGACGTAACCACAGTGAATAAAAGAAAGACATACAGCCTCGTTACTAAAGGCATGGCTGTGTAGATGCAGTTAACAGCTAAAGAAGAGACAGAAAAACACGGACGGTGCCAACGGTGAATCAGACGAAGGAGAAGTCAGATATCATGTGGCGGAGGGAAAGTCCAGGGGAACCAACGGAGCGGAGCGTTTCCTGATTGGCTGCGAGCCGGAGGAAGAGGCGCTCCAAGTGCATGTCCCCTTTGAGAGGTGGCAGAGCACTCGGTCCTTCGCTTAACATCATTACTCCCGATTCTTTTCCGTAATTATGATATTGTCAATGAGTTTTCCCATTTTGCAATTAGGGTAAAGCAAAAGCTTCCACCCCAGATGGGACTCGAACCCACAATCCCTGGCTTAGGAGGCCAGTGCCTTATCCATTAGGCCACTGGGGCTTTGCAGCTATGTAAGGAAACCAGGTATCAATTTATAGGTCACTATGAACACATAACATTAATATTTCGCTATATTGTGGTCGCACAAACGTGTGTTATTTGTTTTAGTAACAAACACGGTATCCGCGCATTTAATACAAATAATGCAGGACCTCGCTGGTTAAAAGAAAAAGACAACATCTTATTTAACTATAGCTGAAAAACATATAATTCAAGTTATGGCCTTCTAAAATAGGCCAGACACTTTCATATAGTTAGTTTAAGTTTTTCAGCAGTGGCTGAATTGGCCCGAAAAAGATACTCAGTACTGGAGAGTAATGGCCCACTGAATTTCAGCCAATATGCTGTATATGTAAAGATGTATGTAAGACAATATAACACACAGTATGTCCTTCTGATTCATTACATTTAAGTTAAAGTATAAAGAAAAGAAAAGAAAACAATACAGGAACAAAATGTTTTTTAATTCACTGACTTCATCTGTTGTGATGATGTGTTCCCAACAGTAAATCATGAAAATTAACAAAACCATTTCATCCCCCTGAAGACAAGACACACACACAAGTGGATAATTATATTCACTGTAATATAGAATCGATTTTGCTCATTAAAACTTTTAAATATATTCTGACAAAAAGAATAAATAAAGTGGGAATAACAAGAAAGATTACAACAACAGAATTTTTACACCGTTCCCTTTTGTGTACACTTATTTACATGTAGTTTTTGCACTTTTCAATCTGTTTCCACACAGTGGTAAAGCTCTGTGAGGCGTCTGTGTGTGTCCATTAGCTTTCTTCTCCTAGACAGAAACACTACCAGGGTGTGGGGAAAACCCATTCTGTTGAGGGGAAGTGAGTGTTACGAGATATTTTCACTGGAAGTGAGTATGAGTGGGTGAGGCAGATTAAATGACCTTAAAAAAACTTTGGTTGTGAAGATTTTGTGTGGCTAATGCAAGCTCTCCCTTGTGTAACAACTAAAAATGTGCTAAGAAGAAGAAAGAACAACCAGAGTACAAAGGAGTGTACAATCACATCTGTGTGTCCATCATCATCTTCATCATCTTCAGACTTTCTATATTTAACCATTAGTGTCATGTATCTGTAGTGACACTTAAAAGTTACCACAACAGAACATTTTAGGTTGCTAAATACATCCCTGTCCGAAATATGACAAGTTTGCAGCAAAGAAAATAACAAAATAAAAATGTAAATATCAGGATATAACTTGTAACAATCCAGCATACGCACACTGACCCATTACACTTCATTAAGACCAAAGAAGGCACACTTCATATGCATATAAACCCTACTCTGCTGCATTAAACCCCCTCCATAACATTCAGATTAAAATTAAGTTTCCCTCTGTTAGTACAGTCACATTTTTTTTTTTAAAAGAGAAAGTTGACAGTCAAAAGTTTCTATGGTAAAATAATAACAAAGCTGTTGATTTGAGAGTATCCCAGGAAGGACACATACAGCATCATAACAGCAATTTCAGTAGTTTTTCACCTTTGTAACAAGAATGTTATCCAGATCACTGATTAGTGTGTGCATTGACGTTAAAGCAGGTGTAGAACTGTTATGATTGAGGGGTGGACTTCATCTCCACATACACTCATTCATCATCGATCAGTTTTTCAGCGCCATTCTCTGCTCGTCTGTCCGCACTCCTTCCTCCTTCCTGTCCGCCTCCCCCCTCCTCCTCCTCCTCCTCCTCCTCGTCCTCATCTCCAGTGTAAGAGGAGAGAGACTGGCTGCTGTAGTTGATCATGGTGCGGGAGAGGTCCACTTCGATGGGGAAGACGTCCGCCTCCTTCAGGACAGCGTAGCACTCGTCGTAGTAATGTGACATGCCCGAGACGAAGCGCTGCAGCTGGAACACAATATCCTGGACTGTGGGTGAAGAACACGAGAGGGAGAATAGCTTATTTTTGCATTAATTTTTTCCATTTGTTCTGATCTGTATCTTTGCTTGTTGGTGCATTTTTGCTTACTAAATCCTGATAATGTACTTTTACATTCTAAGCATCACAGCCTCTTTAGCCAATATGAAAATATCACACTAAGATTATCTTGGCCAAAACTGGGTTAGTATATGTTATTATCTGGATAATCACTGAAATAAAGTGTAAATCTTTATCTTTAGTTTTTGAAACATTTATAGTAAAACTGAGAACTGAAACAGTGAACACTTCCCTCTCTTTTGTGTCTCGTGTAGGATTTATACTGTTCCAGCCCTTCACATCCTGTTTTAAATATCAGATGGCAATGTGAGCAAAAATCTGATTTTCTGTGTGTGTTCTGTGCCTTAATACATCCTGGCATGACTGGATGTGAGTGAGTGACAGACATTGTTCCATTTGTGGTGGATAGAGAGACACTGATCAGATTGATGTGACGACGGTGTATCACCAGAGCCTGTTTACACCTGATTAAAAAAAAAAAGCTGAAAAAAACAAACAAGACAACAACAACAACAACAACAACAACAGACCGTGTTTCTGATCCAGCAGCTCTATCTTCTCCAGAACGTCCTTCCTCATTTTGGCGAAGCGGGCTCGAGCCTCCTGCCGACACCGCAGTACCAAGCGGTACTCATAGTTACCGGTGCTGACACGGTACAGGGGCTCTCCCATGGCCTGTAGGGAGAGGCACATTATTCACTGCTTCTCTGAGATTTGTGAAAGGCAACACATACTTCCATTTGCAACCTGTAACTCTTTTGTAGTTCAACTCACTATACTGCTGTACTCTTCATCATCCATTTCCTTCACCTTCAGGCAGTATGACTGAAAGACACAAGGGATTCATTGTTGAACACATTTACAAGTGATGTCACTACGTTGTACAATGCACTGAACTGAATAGTGCTGTTGCCTTACCAGATATTCAAACTTCACATCCAGATACTTGCGGATGGTGAGCTTTGTGTCTGGTATGGCCTTATGAAGGTACGTGTTCAGATCGTGGAGCATCTGCACAACAAGATATGATTGGTCAGAGGTTTGATATGACAGACACACAATAAACAAACAAGTGTGTTTTGTAGTTCTATTCATTCATGCAAAGCTCAGAAGACGGTAGCACATTAAAACATATGTAAAAAACATTTGCTTGTTTTCAAGGGCTTCAAAGCCAAGCTTGTATCTGTACTCACAGGTTTGATGGTCTTCAGGAGCTGAATACCATATTTCTCAATGTTGCGGTGAGCATCAGCAAACTTCACAAAAGCCTCGCTGGCTGCGGCCTGGGGCTCTCGCACCCCAATGACAGAAAAAACATCCCCAAAAGCTGAAAAATTCAGATCAGATGTATTACGGCTTTCCCACATAGGATGGACAGTCTTATCTTTCTACACTGAGTTTGCCTTTGATAAATACAGCACAATAAAAGCCTTGTTAACATATGAATGGATTCTGTCAGATATTTTTTTTCCATGTCTGTGACATATTCTACAGATACAGACATTGAAACTGTACTGAAAAGAGTACATGTTGCTGGCATGTTGATATCACTATAAACAGATCCTTTTCACGGTCTATTTTTGTTGGGAACTGCATGTGGATCACAGAAAAAATAGTATATAACCTGTGTGGACTGGGCTTTAGACACTAAAGCTGAGATGAAGCTGAAATCTATGAAGATGATCCGTCTTGTGTTTTTCTTTTTTTTGCGAGTCAATGTCAAAGGTAAAAAAGGAGCACCAAACCAATTAGTAACACTAATTTTCTGACTTTGATCAAAGTAACTCACCTCTGTGGGTTTGCGAGAGCTCGAAGAAAGCTCGGAGCAGCCTCTTTGTGTGCTCCATCAATCCTACAAGCAAGCAGAGGAATAATGAGACACTGGATTGAACAAACAGCAACAAGTGAATTTTCCCACTATCTATCTGACTAAAACATTAGATTACAGTTTCACAAAACACAGTTGATGGTGGAAAGTTATTACACTAAATTACAACACTGAAGATTACTGAAGGGCAATTTTTAAAGTTGATTATTTTTTACCTTTGTAGAGCTCTGCTGTTTTCTCCAGCTCTTCCAGTCTTTTGACCAGTCCATCTGTAAAATGAATCCACAGGAGTAGAGCTTTATATCTACCTATATGAATAAACTAATAAAATCATAATGTTCATAATAATAATCTCACCGTTGCATAGAATAGCTCTACTGAGTCCAAGAGCATCTGCTGTGCCTGAGCTCATATTCTCTACCAGGCGATGTTTGACTTTTTTCAGCACTGAAACACACAAAATGTGTTTAATGCACATTAAAGCACAACATTCAGTAATATAAACAAACAGTGAATCAAGATTAATAGTAAGAACGTCTCTAGTGGAAGAGATACCTATGTCCAGAGACTTCCCCTGTTTCGGGTCTGCCTGCAGTTTGTTGTAGTGAATTATTGCCTCTCCCTGTGAAAACACAAAGAAATACGAATCAGCAACAAATATATATATATATATGGATATATTTACATGAGGACCATTCATTTAACTTTATAAAACTACAAAATTAACAATTAAAATACAATGTGTTATCCTATTACATGTGGTAAAAACAACAATGTGCAAACTTTTCCAGCTTCATGGTGCAGAGGGGGTTTTCACATGCACTGAATGAACAACAAAACTATCTAATCCTTTAAATCCCACATTGCACCCTGTCTTTAATCCATCACACAGGAAGTCATGGAATTTTTGGCGTGAACAATGAATGCCAAAAACAACACAGCCACTCTGCATCGGTGACGTTATGCCAAATGCTATGGGCTATTGTCCCAAACTCTTTAGCACAGCTGAGCAAGCCGGTTAAAGTCCCTCTTCTCCACAGTCCGGTGGAGGGTTTGCACACATAATTACTAAACTCTTGGACTATTCACTGATAAAACTGCAGCCACAGCAGCACAGACAAATGTGAGTAATGGTTTATTCCTTTTGCATATTTCTATTCATGTCCATGTGTGCGTCATTAAAATAGAGTTATCATCAGTGGTGGGGAGTTACTTTAGTTTGTCTTTGAACTTTTCAGAGAAATGGTACATTTACATTAAATAACATTCAAATAAAGACAGATTTGAGACATGAACAAACGCACCAGCCACAACAGTAAATTAGCTGCATTTGGCAGAAGGCTGGATTTCATTTTCTATCTTAGTCATCAACTACTTAAATCATTAACAGAGAAGAATGCATGGAATTGGTCATAATATAGACTGTGCGTATCCACAGAACATAGAAGAGGTAAATAATAAACAATCTGAGCATATCTTGGTGTTGTTCAGGACTGTAAATAACAATGGACGGTAATTTCCCAGTATTTCTGTACCTGGACAGCTTGAATCATCTTGGCTACTTCCACTTTAGTCTTTCCCTTCACTGGTTTTCCATTCACGCCTGTGAGTTCATCGCCTGCTGCCAGTGTCCCATCCAGAGCTGCTGGGGTGTTATCAAAGACCTGCGAGACAACATTAAAGCCACATTAAAAAGGTACCAATTTACCCCCTGACTTCAAATGGAGCTTGACCGCCACTGAATCAATTAAGTTCATTTAATTTAATTTAATTCAAAAACTTGAAACATCGTAGAAATGTTCTGTCACACGGTTACAAACAATTGTTCTGTACCTACCTGGACAATGTAGAGACATGGACAGTACTGTGCTCCACCACCAATGCTGATCCCAATAAGGTTATTAGCATCTTTTTTCAGACTCACAGTACCAGGTACTGTTGGTATTCCCCTGTTGAGGAGAGAACATGATACACTGAGATTTGCAGCATTTAGTTTCCCATGTTTTTGGAGAAGGTACAATATTATAGTATAAAGTTCTTGAAATCAGATCAATAATGAGAGTAATGACTGCAAAGCTCAAGGCTCACACAATTAACTACAGCGTTAAGAGTCAGTCCACACATGGTTTGATTTGTCAGTGTATGTGGTCTCATGTATGAACAGAAGATATCCTACTACACACAGTGAACACATAAACGCATGGCACAGATCATAAAGAGAGAAAAACACAATTGTAACTCACAGTTTGTCCTCCTCCAATTCATAGTCCATGTCTGTGAACATGTCAGGACAGTGTCACTCCTGTCCCTGTAAAAACCTGTGAGTGATTATAACAAAACCCATTACTTTAAATACTGTAGTGCCTGTACCTGCGGATCGATATGATGAATACAGTTTGTCTTCAGCAGCTCTCTCAGTCTCATCTACACACTTAAATAACATGTGCTTTAATGAGATCTAAGACATTCTGCTGGGATATACTGTATGTATCGATTTGACTGCGCTCAACATAAAGCAGGCCGTTTTGCAGCTTCGTCTGATCCATTGAAATGAAGTGAAGAAAGTGAGGAGACGAACAGCTGGTAACTGGCACTGTATGCTAAATACCCGACGTTAGCCAGTTAAAACAGATAAACAGTTTAACTTAATACATCGACATATGCGGTAAAGACCACTGACGTTATTATTATTATTATTATTATTAATATTATTATTAACAAACAGCAGGAAGACTGCTTGCTAACGCTGTCTCATTAGCTAGCTGCTAGCTACTGGCAGGTGGAATAACAAATGTCGCTTCTTAAAAAACGTTTTTACGCCGTAAAAGATTTACCTTTATCACAATATGCACCAGTTTCTCATATAAATGTCCTTCAGGATGCATAAAAAAATCGCTTCCTGTAGTAGCAGTTATCTTAATTTCTGGATCTAGTGACAGCTCCTCTGTTTACTTTGTGTCGTCACATCCGGTAGACTAGCGGAAGTTGACGTTAAATAAAGACTAATATAATTGTAATTGTTTTCTAGTGGTCACAATTAGAAACAACTCCGCATTCTTCACTGAAAATACTAAAAATATTTATACTGACAATGTTATCACCATGTAATGCTTTAAAAAAAGAAAAACTTCCACGTTAAATCGCGAGTCTTTCCCGCCCTCTTGTGGCGAAAGTTGAGCAACTGCAACACTAAACTCATTCATTCATTCATTCATTCATTCATTCACTCATTCAGACTACCGTCAATGTGGAAGTGACCTCCGGTAAGTACTTTCAAATTACAGTGAGCAAACAATTGGAGCAAACTGAAGCTATCAAGTAAAAGATGTCATAAAATAATCACGTTAATCCATACTGTCAGTGTCGCATCATCATCATCGTCACATGACCGTCGGCGGTAGTCGAGCAGCGCTTTCTGTGCCAGCAAACTTCTCTAATAGTACTTATTGTAGGTAGTAGGTAACTTTAGCACAGTTAACGCACAGCCTTCAGCGGCTTCCGTCTGTCTTATGAACCTATTTTAATGTATCACAGTTTCACACTGTGACTAATTTACAATCACGTGTTTCCAGCGCCATCCTGTGGTCACAGTGTGGAACTGCAACGGAAATAAAATAATAAAACCAGCGTCACTGCAGACATTACACGGCTTCTGGTGAATACTTTAAACCTCACCGAAGCTAACAATATAACTACTAATTGTTTTCTGCTGGTCAGTCGACACCCACACCTCCCGTCAGTACTATCGATAACGACTGCAGACATTCAGAAGCTAATTGATTGATAGCATACTGATACTTCCGGTGAATACTTTCAAAATAAAGTGGTCAAACTGAAGCAACACGGAAATAAGTGTTCCGTAGTGATCAATCCCCCTAGCGTCAATGTATAAGGGAAACTATAACGAGCAACAACCTCCGTCAGCCATCTAGCTCTATTTTGTATAATTGTCTTACTTTCTACTTGCTTCACTTTGTTTGCCCTAACTTTACTTTAATAGTGTTCACCGGAAATGTATTCTATCACGTCTGCATTGACGTAGTTTGACGAACTTCATGTGTTTCAGTTCCTCTTTGTGACCACTTGAGGGCAGCATAAACACATCAATACGTTGCAGGCTTTTGTTCGATAACTCCATCAAATAATCAATATCAGTATCTGTATGCTGCATAGAGACAGTATGGAAGTTATTTGGAGTGGGACTGGCGATAAATTTCATTTTACATTTTATTTTAAATGTTTTACCTTATTTATATTATTATTTTTATGTATTTAGAAAATACAACCACTTTATATTTTTTAATAAAGAACTGCTAAATAAAAGGGGTTTGGCTCTTGAAGTTCTTGAAAGCCACACTATTTTCACCCACCCCGAATTAAAACAAATAGCCTAAAAATAAATATTTTAGATTAAAATAATTAGATGAGGTCAAGTTGTGCCCTGATGTGAGATCGGATATCTAAATGTCAAAAACCAATAAGGCTACATGACTCTAACCCTGAATTGCATAGGCCTTGTGTTGGGGGAACTGCTGTAGAAAATTGAGTTTAACTAGTTTAATTAGTCATAAAACACAAGGTACAAGTTTACATAAGGACAAGTCCTTCGAACAATTTCCAGCTATGATGCTGAGCTATCCGCTTAATTTAATTCTTTAATTAGCTGAAAAATCCTAATTAACGTTATAACTAAAGGTAAAATTTAATTTGGCTTTATTTTATTAAAATTATATTTATAGCAAAGAAATAAATGATCATAGTGTCACTGAAAATGACAAGGAGAAAACTCACACACAGTAAATAAATGAATATATAAATAATGACAAATTAAGACATTGTAGATCAAATAGGGCCAGAGCATGTAAAATAGCCTGAGTATCAATAATAATCATGTTTATATTTGAGTTGATCAAATATAATATTCAAATTCAATTCAAAGGATAACAGACTGGTTGACAATATTAATTACTTTACTTATTACTCCCTATCAACAATAATTAGTTACACTACTAGTTACTACTTTTCTGCTACTCCCCACAGAATTGTTGGTTGTGTCCTTTCTCCCCAAAACGATGATTAAAATCCAGTTTTGTTTGTCAATCAAAGTAATGGGATTATTTCTGCTGCTGAATATAAGTGTCTCCATCTTTCTAAGCAAGATTATATATCCAAAGATTTGATTGTTGGATTTCAAATCAGTAGGGGTTGTAACTATAAATTCTTTCAGGGGATAAATGTTAAATACTATAGTACTCAGTTACTTCGACCCTCATTAATGTGCACAATGGCTCCCAGTCTAAAAATGTTTAAATAGCTCTTGGCAGAGTAGTTTGTGACAGCTGTTACTCACAACCTGTTAAAATGAATCCTTTTTGTTTTATTCTTTGATTAAACAGAGCAGTGCCTCTGCATTGAATAAGCTGAGTTATCATGCTGATGAATCGGCCACATTGTAACTGATCAAAGTCCTGTCACTGAATCCTTTGTGCTTTACAGAATAAATTAGGGGAAACTGCACAGTCACACTACTTACAGTTTGTCTTCCAGGACAGAAGACCAACCTTTCCTACGTCTCCCATTAGCTCCAGGACTGTTCACCAACACCAGCACCCAAAATGAGCATGGTAAGTTAGACAGCTTGGTATGAAAGTACTGTAAGGTTTTGCTACCACCATGATTAACAGTAACATTTGAACAATTATGTTTCCCAGCAACTCGAATTGAAGAATGTGAATCTGAGAGCTGGAGATCAGCTGAAAGTGAAGGGGCTAATTCTGCATGATGCTGAGAGGTAAACTAACAGACTTATTTTATATTAGTCTCTTAACTTAATGACTGAAGATGTATTCTCATTAATTGCTGCAGTGACAATTATTGTAAACATCTGTAAAAAACGTTGACTTCCACTTGTATATGTAGCCTGGTGATGTCTAATAATGATTCTGTGTGTTGTTCTAAGCTCTGCTGTACATTTACTGTATAATCTCGGATCCACTCAGATTCCAGATTGACCTCGGCTGCTGTGCAGACGACCTGGCACTGCACTTCAACCCTCGTTTCCATGATGACGCCGATGGAGCTGTTCTCGTTTGTAACTCAAAGACCGCTGGTTGTTGGGGCGATGAGAAACGGGAAATACAAAACCCCATGCAAAGGGGCACAGATGTCAAGGTGAGGGAACCTGACTGAAGGAAGTGAAGATGTATGTGAACAAGAACCTGTTGAAGGTTTAGCTAGGGTGTTTTTGAAAAGCTTAAAGGGTTGATTCACCCAAATCACAAGAAACATAGCCCTAGTGATATTTAGCCCTGCAGGGAGTTCGGGTTTTGTTCTATTTTCTACTAAGAATACAAATATTTTACTCTATGTATCTTTTCGGTCTTAGATCGAGTTGAAGCTGTGTGGAGACGTGTTTGAAGTGGAGCTTCCTGATGGACAGGAGGTCCAGTTTCCCAACCGTGACAACATGGACATCATCAGCTACGTCAAAATAGCAGGAGACTTTAAACTGACTTCCTTCAAGATCTGTTGAGAGACACAACTGCTGTAACATGTGCATGCTGTGTATATCAGTTTGGTGAAAGACAAGAGTTCAGTCAGTTATTGTGAGAAATATGATCAATTGAGAGATATATATCTTCAGGACACTGGAAATGTATCTTTATTTAAGTATGTCCTGTTGTGCACAAGAATATAAAGGCTTTACATTCAAACTATCTTGTTTTGTTGTCTTTGAAACGTTGCAACCTAATTATGGATTTGATATTTCCCTCAAACAGTAACACTATTAACTTTACATACAGTAACAATATTTTAAATAATTTCCCCCTGGGATTATTAAAGTATTTCTGATTCTGATTCTGAATCCAATTAAGACAACAAATCACATACAAAAATAGTGACAGCCTGAGAATTATTGTGTAACCTGACATCAAATGTATCTTAACCATCTGCAATTTGACCTTCAATAACAGTGAACTGTGATGGATTTATTCACATTGACAGGAAGAACTAAAGACAGAACAAACTGTAGCTGTAATGTTCCTCTCTTGATCTACTCCACCATGTAAACATACAGCCAACTGAGGAGAACAAGAATTTGGTTAATTTAGTTCTTTCATCCACACAAGGTGGGATAAGCATACAAATATACAAATTATACACATGGAAGTACAGGGAAAGAAAAGGAAGGGAGGGGAAGTGGGATGACTCCGCTGAGAGGTTGAGGTATGGGTTCATCCTTCAGTGGGATGCCGCCCTCAGGTTGTGTTGAACTTAGTTGATCACCGATAGAAAACTTCCCCTCGTTGAACCAGCGGGCACAATGGCGCATACTGTCTTTGGGCTATGTGAGATTGTGTTTGTTTTGCTTTGAAATATTAAAGTTGTGTATCTAGGTTGATGGTGAAATTGAAATTGAAATGGACAAAGGCTAAACAAAGTTAAAGTAAGAATATTAACGGGTACATGGGGGCGCGTTTTTAAAATCCATACCCAAATGCACAACACCCCACGGTCGGGGAAGCACACTGTCCGTCCCTGCAATTATGTTCGTACTTTCATGCAGGCACCACCCCCTTTCCCCAGCAGATGCCGCCATTGGTCCCTTAAACAACAGGCTATGACAATATGAAAACAGCAGAGTTAAGATGTGGACTTTAATGAGAATGGGGAGACACAATAGCACAGTGGGTACACATGAACACAATTTTCTGAATTGTTGAATGTCGCTATATCTGAATCCGAAACATGAAAAATGGAAATCTTCCGAAAACTCAACAAAACAAAAAAAATGTAATAAAATATCTGTGATCTCTCTATAATACTCAAATTAAATCCTCAACCCAACCTCGAATGGAGGGAGAAATGTTCAGTTTTTTCCGATTTTTTCAGAGCGTCTGATCTTCTGTCGACTCCAGCAAACAGTCCCAAAAACACGGACAAGGTGCGCAGTAGTGTGTTCAATCCACCTCCGTGTCTTCAGACAGGGACAGCGACTCGACAGCGCGGACACAAAGTGAGTGAAAACAGCAGCTTGGTGACAAGTGAATCCACAGCACCGCTTCCAGTGAAACGCTGAACGTTGAATGTTGATTTCTGAGAGGATCTCTATTTGACAGAGGGACAGACGAAGTATGCAAGTTTTCCTCCTCTCTCAGCGCCATCCACAGGACTGAAGCATTTCCTTCTTGTTGTTGCGGTGCCTGTTGCGGAGAGATCCCGTCCCTCGGGTTCCTCCTCCTCAGCATTTCGTCATCTGACTCCGCAAAGTCTCATTTTCCCCGTTGATGTTCCTTATGAGCTGTGATCACTGCTGCTCTTCCCCGTTGATGTTCAATAAGACCATCAGCAGTCTTTCGATGGATATCACAGCGAGTGTCTGCCTGTTAAAGGTGATGGTGACAACCTGCCCATCAGGCTCCGCGTAACCGGCCTGAATGTGAACCCGAGAGATGGCATCCCGGACAGTCAACAGTGTCTGCTGCAGCGTCCCAGTTATTCTTGTGCTGACTGCACCCATAGTTAGAGATCAGAGTTCCTTCTGGCTTCATAATGACTGATGACTTCACTTTTAATAGAACAAACGTCGGGTTATGGATACTCGGGTTATGGATACTCGGGTTTTGGATTTTCGGTGTACCCCGAAACATCTTCAATCTGAAAATGTTTTTCTAAAATGGGAAAAAAAAAAAAAATCTGAAATTCACTATTTTCTATTTCACAGTTTATGTGAACGATAGTGTTTTTTATTAAAAGCATATTGTCTCCCTCTAATGAAATAATGAAACTCGAACCTCTGTTAGAGAGACAGTTTTAGTGTCGGATTCAGAGCACCGGCTCTAGTGCGCCACTGGCTCCACTGTCTAATCACGGTGCAGAAGCCAAAGTCACTCCGCCTTCCTTTCTCTAATGCAGACGGGTTCTAGCAGAGAAAAAGAGCCATGGGATGTTCCTCTATACGCCTTCACTGTGCTGTGCCCGTCCTTGGCACGATGAATCATACACGTAAGAATGCCGGGGTATGAATCAACAGCAGACACTTTTACGCACGGCCCACAGAAGGCTTCCACGGGCTGATTATGTGCTCAGATCCAACAACAAATTATTAAAAACACAACACAGGCCAGAACTCAACATTTCCCACTAGTATTTAGAATTAGTTTCTTTGCTTCTTTGGCTGTGAGCCTCTGTGCCATCGAGAGGGCACGCATACCTCATGTGCTGGAGGAGAGTTTCCTCTGTCACAGCAGCTTTTTATTCGGTTACCGCTGTTTTTATTCGGCTTCATGATTAAAAAGCAATCACAAATCTTTAAATACACACATGTTAGATGTAATTATAAGACACAATGAAGCTGGAAAAGGGTGTGTTATCAAGTGTAATGCTTGTATTCGCATTTGTCATGAAAGAACATGTTAAACAACAGGCTATGACAATATGAAAACAGCAGAGTTAAGATGTGGACTTTAATGAGAATGGGGAGACACAATAGCACATTGGGTACACATGAAGACAATTTCCTGAATTGTTGAATGTCGCTATATCTGAATCCGAAACATGAAAAATGGAAATCTTCCGAAAACTCAACAAAACACAAAAACAAAACAAAAAAATGTAATAATTTTTTAGAGCGTCTGATCTTCCGTCGACTCCAGCAAACAGTCCCAAAAACACGGACAAGGTGCGCAGTAGTGTGTTCAATCCACCTCCGTGTCTTCAGACAGAGACAGCGACTCGACAGCGCGGACACAAAGTGAGTGAAAACAGCAGCTTGGTGACAAGTGAATCCACAGTGAAACGCTGAACGTTGAATGTTGATTTCTGAGAGGATCTCTATTTGACAGAGGGACAGACGAAGTATGCGAGTTTTCCTCCTCTCTCAGCGCCATCCACAGGACTGAAGCATTTCCTTCTTGTTGTTGCGGTGCCTGTTGCGGAGAGATCCCGTCCCTCGGGTTCCTCCTCCTCAGCATTTCGTCATCTGACTCGCAAAGTTTCATTTTCCCCGTTGATGTTCCTTATGAGCTGTGTCTGCCTGTTAAAGGTGATGGTGACAACCAGCCCATCAGGCTCCGCGTAACCGGCCTGAATGTGAACCCGAGAGATGGCATCCCGGACATTCAACAGTGTCTGCTGCAGCGTCCAAGTTATTCTTGTGCTGACTGCACCCATAGTTAGAGATCAGAGTTCCTTCTGGCTTCACAATGACTGATGACTTCACTTTTAATAGGAGAAGCGTCGGGTTATGGATTCTCGGGTTATGGATTCTCGGGTTACGGATACTCGGGTTTTGGATTTTCGGTGTACCCCGAAACATCTTCAATCTGAAAATGTTTTTCTAAAATGGGAAAAAAAAAAAAAAAAATCTGAAATTCACTATTTTCTATTTCACAGTTTATGTGAACGATAGTGTTTTTTATTAAAAGCATATTGTCTCCCTGTAATGAAATAATGAAACTCGAACCTCTGTTAGAGAGACAGTTTTAGTGTCGGATTCAGAGCACCGGCTCTAGTGCGCCACTGGCTCCACTGTCTAATCACGGTGCAGAAGACAGCGACTCGACAGCGCGGACACAAAGTGAGTGAAAACAGTTGCTTGGTGAAAAGTGAATCTCTCGGTGCGCTCAGCCTCTGTCTGCTTTCCTGAACCCGTGGCTGCAGACATAAACCCCTCCCACTGCTCCTCCCCAGCCCGTCTGAATGGGGCCGGTACTTTGCTCATCGAGATTTGCTCTATTAACCTGACAGCAGTGCAGCAGTCTGAGCATTGGGATTGTTTGAATTGTCGAGCCACTGCAAACATTTCAATATGGCTGATGTGAATAGAAATGTTGTCGCTGTGCTCCAGCAGACACTGCGGGCTTTTCTTCGACACCTTGTTTCCCGCTTTGAAATCAGGCTGTGCATTGAAGAGCCACATGGTCTTGTTGTTGTCCTCCTCCGTGACGGAGATAGGCTGGCTGTGATCTTCATCACTAGTCTCCTGGGGGGCAACCCTGCTGACTCAGCTGCGTAGTCATGTTAAGGGAGGCATCCGATGGAGCCACTGACCCCCAGAGACACTGAGCTCTGACTTCAGCCTACATCTCCAAAAAGGATATTTTGATACGCTGGACACATGATTGCAAGTGTTGTTGCTGCTGTTTGGTGACTTCAGCACAATCTCCCCTATCAAAGTGATTGGCAAATGCGCTCTGCACCTGCATATTGGACTTCCTCACTAACAGAACCGGGAGACACTTTGTGACAGGAGTCACACCTCCTCCACTCTAGTGCTCAACACCAGAGCACCTCGGGGCTGCGTGTGCGCTCTGCGCCCTCCTGTTCATACTGTACACCCTTGACTGCATCCACTGCCATGGACAAAACTCTGCTGTGAGGTTGTGCGTCTGACACCTCCATCATCGGCTGGATTTCACCCAACGATGAGACTTCGGAGAGGGACTTTGAGAGGAAATGAACAATCTTTCAAAGGAAAAATTCCTGCACAGAGCAGAACTTATTCCTCTTTGAGGAACCAAAGCTCTGCGATCACTGCTGCTCTGTCTCATTGATGTTGAATATGACCACCAGCAGCAACATCTTTAATCTGAAAATGTATTCCTAAAATGTAAAAAATCTTAATTTTCTTCTTCAATTCACAATTTCCCATTTGACGGTTTATGTGAATAAAAGTGTGTTTTATTAAAAGCATATTGTCTCCCTGTAATGAAGTGGTGAAACTTTAACCTCCTATATACAACCTCTTACCTCTATAGAAAACCCTTCCCTGTGCTGTGTTATAGAGAATTATGATAAGCGTTAGAATGGCGGGGTATGAATCAGCAGCAGACACTTTTACGCACGGCCCACAGAAGGCTTCCACAGGCTGATTATGAGCTCAGACACAGCAACAAATGAGTGAAAACACAGCACAGACCAACACAGGACAGAACTCAACATTTCCCACTAGTATTTTTATATTTATTAGTTTGTTTGCTTCTTTGGCTGTGAGCCTCTGTGCCATCTAGAGCGCACACAGGCTCACATACAGTCATGTGCTGGAGGAGAGTTTCCTCTGTCACTGCAGCACGTTGGATGTAATTATACCACACAATGAAGCTGGACAAAGTAAGATTAGATATGAATGCTTTTATTCGCATTTGTCATGAAAGAACATTTTAAACAACAGGCTAATATAATATGAAAACAGCAGAGTTAAGATGTGGACTTTAATGAGAATGGGGAGACACAATAGCACAGTGGGTACATATGAAGACAAACATCTAAAATGTTGAATGTCGCTATATCAGTATTCCAAACATGGAAAATGGAAATCTTCCGAAAACTCAAAAAAACCAAAAAAAAATGTAATAAAATATCTGTGATCTCTCTATCATACTCAAGTTAAATCCTCAACCCAACCTCGAATGGAGGGAGAAATGTTCTGTTTTTTCCGATTTTTTCAGAGCGTCTGATCTTCCGTCGACTCCAGCAAACAGTCCCAAAAACACGGACAAGGTGCGCAGTAGTGTGTTCAATCCACCTCCGTGTCTTCAGACAGGGACAGCGCGGACACAAAGTGAGTGAAAACAGCAGCTTGGTGACAAGTGAATCCACAGCACCGCTTCCAGTGAAACGCTGAACGTTGGATGTTGATTTCTGAGAGGATCTCTATTTGACAGAGGGACAGACGAAGTATGCGAGTTTTCCTTCTCTCTCAGCGCCATCCACAGGACTGAAGCATTTCCTTCTTGTTGTTGCGGTGCCTGTTGCGGAGAGATCCCGTCCCTCGGGTTCCTCCTCCTCAGCATTTCGTCATCTGACTCCGCAAAGTTTCATCTTCCTCGTTGATGTTCCTTATGAGCTGTGTCTGCCTGTTAAAGGTGATGGTGACAACCAGCCCATCAGGCTCCGCGTAAACGGCCTGAATGTGAACCCGAGAGATGGCATCCCGGACATTCAACAGTGTCTGCTGCAGCGTCCAAGTTATTCTTGTGCTGACTGCACCCATAGTTAGAGATCAGAGTTCCTTCTGGCTTCACAATGACTGATGACTTCACTTTTAATAGGAGAAGCGTCGGGTTATGGATTCTCGGGTTATGGATCCTCGGGTTACGGATACTCGGGTTATGGGTACTCGGGTTATGGATACTCGGGTTTTGGATTTTCGGTGTACCCCGAAACATCTTCAATCTGAAAATGTTTTTCTAAAATGGGGAAAAAAAAAAAAAAAAAAATCTGAAATTCACTATTTTCTATTTCACAGTTTATGTGAACGATAGTGTTTTTTATTACAAGCATATTGTCTCCCTGTAATTAAATAATGAAACTCGAACCTCTGTTAGAGAGACAGTTTTAGTGTCGGATTCAGAGCACCGGCTCTAGTGCGCCACTGGCTCCACTGTCTAATCACGGTGCAGAAGCCAAAGTCACTCCGCCTTCCTTTCTCTAATGCAGACGGGTTCTAGCAGAGAAAAAGAGCCATGGGATGTTCCTCTATACGCCTTCACTGTGCTGTGCCCGTCCTTGGCACGATGAATCATACACGTAAGAATGCCGGGGTATGAATCAACAGCAGACACTTTTACGCACGGCCCACAGAAGGCTTCCACGGGCTGATTATGTGCTCAGATCCAACAACAAATTATTAAAAACACAACACAGGCCAGAACTCAACATTTCCCACTAGTATTTAGAATTAGTTTCTTTGCTTCTTTGGCTGTGAGCCTCTGTGCCATCGAGAGGGCACGCATACCTCATGTGCTGGAGGAGAGTTTCCTCTGTCACAGCAGCTTTTTATTCGGTTACCGCTGTTTTTATTCGGCTTCATGATTAAAAAGCAATCACAAATCTTTAAATACACACATGTTAGATGTAATTATAAGACACAATGAAGCTGGAAAAGGGTGTGTTATCAAGTGTAATGCTTGTATTCGCATTTGTCATGAAAGAACATGTTAAACAACAGGCTATGACAATATGAAAACAGCAGAGTTAAGATGTGGACTTTAATGAGAATGGGGAGACACAATAGCACATTGGGTACACATGAAGACAATTTCCTGAATTGTTGAATGTCGCTATATCTGAATCCGAAACATGAAAAATGGAAATCTTCCGAAAACTCAACAAAACACAAAAACAAAACAAAAAAATGTAATAAAGAGCGTCTGATCTTCCGTCGACTCCAGCAAACAGTCCCAAAAACACGGACAAGGTGCGCAGTAGTGTGTTCAATCCACCTCCGTGTCTTCAGACAGAGACAGCGACTCGACAGCGCGGACACAAAGTGAGTGAAAACAGCAGCTTGGTGACAAGTGAATCCACAGTGAAACGCTGAACGTTGAATGTTGATTTCTGAGAGGATCTCTATTTGACAGAGGGACAGACGAAGTATGCGAGTTTTCCTCCTCTCTCAGCGCCATCCACAGGACTGAAGCATTTCCTTCTTGTTGTTGCGGTGCCTGTTGCGGAGAGATCCCGTCCCTCGGGTTCCTCCTCCTCAGCATTTCGTCATCTGACTCGCAAAGTTTCATTTTCCCCGTTGATGTTCCTTATGAGCTGTGTCTGCCTGTTAAAGGTGATGGTGACAACCAGCCCATCAGGCTCCGCGTAACCGGCCTGAATGTGAACCCGAGAGATGGCATCCCGGACATTCAACAGTGTCTGCTGCAGCGTCCAAGTTATTCTTGTGCTGACTGCACCCATAGTTAGAGATCAGAGTTCCTTCTGGCTTCACAATGACTGATGACTTCACTTTTAATAGGAGAAGCGTCGGGTTATGGATTCTCGGGTTATGGATTCTCGGGTTACGGATACTCGCGTTTTGGATTTTCGGTGTACCCCGAAACATCTTCAATCTGAAAATGTTTTTCTAAAATGGGAAAAAAAAAAAAAAATCTGAAATTCACTATTTTCTATTTCACAGTTTATGTGAACGATAGTGTTTTTTATTAAAAGCATATTGTCTCCCTGTAATGAAATAATGAAACTCGAACCTCTGTTAGAGAGACAGTTTTAGTGTCGGATTCAGAGCACCGGCTCTAGTGCGCCACTGGCTCCACTGTCTAATCACGGTGCAGAAGACAGCGACTCGACAGCGCGGACACAAAGTGAGTGAAAACAGTTGCTTGGTGAAAAGTGAATCTCTCGGTGCGCTCAGCCTCTGTCTGCTTTCCTGAACCCGTGGCTGCAGACATAAACCCCTCCCACTGCTCCTCCCCAGCCCGTCTGAATGGGGCCGGTACTTTGCTCATCGAGATTTGCTCTATTAACCTGACAGCAGTGCAGCAGTCTGAGCATTGGGATTGTTTGAATTGTCGAGCCACTGCAAACATTTCAATATGGCTGATGTGAATAGAAATGTTGTCGCTGTGCTCCAGCAGACACTGCGGGCTTTTCTTCGACACCTTGTTTCCCGCTTTGAAATCAGGCTGTGCATTGAAGAGCCACATGGTCTTGTTGTTGTCCTCCTCCGTGACGGAGATAGGCTGGCTGTGATCTTCATCACTAGTCTCCTGGGGGGCAACCCTGCTGACTCAGCTGCGTAGTCATGTTAAGGGAGGCATCCGATGGAGCCACTGACCCCCAGAGACACTGAGCTCTGACTTCAGCCTACATCTCCAAAAAGGATATTTTGATACGCTGGACACATGATTGCAAGTGTTGTTGCTGCTGTTTGGTGACTTCAGCACAATCTCCCCTATCAAAGTGATTGGCAAATGCGCTCTGCACCTGCATATTGGACTTCCTCACTAACAGAACCGGGAGACACTTTGTGACAGGAGTCACACCTCCTCCACTCTAGTGCTCAACACCAGAGCACCTCGGGGCTGCGTGTGCGCTCTGCGCCCTCCTGTTCATACTGTACACCCTTGACTGCATCCACTGCCATGGACAAAACTCTGCTGTGAGGTTGTGCGTCTGACACCTCCATCATCGGCTGGATTTCACCCAACGATGAGACTTCGGAGAGGGACTTTGAGAGGAAATGAACAATCTTTCAAAGGAAAAATTCCTGCACAGAGCAGAACTTATTCCTCTTTGAGGAACCAAAGCTCTGCGATCACTGCTGCTCTGTCTCATTGATGTTGAATATGACCACCAGCAGCAACATCTTTAATCTGAAAATGTATTCCTAAAATGTAAAAAATCTTAATTTTCTTCTTCAATTCACAATTTCCCATTTGACGGTTTATGTGAATAAAAGTGTGTTTTATTAAAAGCATATTGTCTCCCTGTAATGAAGTGGTGAAACTTTAACCTCCTATATACAACCTCTTACCTCTATAGAAAACCCTTCCCTGTGCTGTGTTATAGAGAATTATGATAAGCGTTAGAATGGCGGGGTATGAATCAGCAGCAGACACTTTTACGCACGGCCCACAGAAGGCTTCCACAGGCTGATTATGAGCTCAGACACAGCAACAAATGAGTGAAAACACAGCACAGACCAACACAGGACAGAACTCAACATTTCCCACTAGTATTTTTTATATTTATTAGTTTGTTTGCTTCTTTGGCTGTGAGCCTCTGTGCCATCTAGAGCGCACACAGGCTCACATACAGTCATGTGCTGGAGGAGAGTTTCCTCTGTCACTGCAGCACGTTGGATGTAATTATACCACACAATGAAGCTGGACAAAGTAAGATTAGATATGAATGCTTTTATTCGCATTTGTCATGAAAGAACATTTTAAACAACAGGCTAATATAATATGAAAACAGCAGAGTTAAGATGTGGACTTTAATGAGAATGGGGAGACACAATAGCACAGTGGGTACATATGAAGACAAACATCTAAAATGTTGAATGTCGCTATATCAGTATTCCAAACATGGAAAATGGAAATCTTCCGAAAACTCAAAAAAACAAAAAAAAAATGTAATAAAATATCTGTGATCTCTCTATCATACTCAAGTTAAATCCTCAACCCAACCTCGAATGGAGGGAGAAATGTTCTGTTTTTTCCGATTTTTTCAGAGCGTCTGATCTTCCGTCGACTCCAGCAAACAGTCCCAAAAACACGGACAAGGTGCGCAGTAGTGTGTTCAATCCACCTCCGTGTCTTCAGACAGGGACAGCGACTCGACAGCGCGGACACAAAGTGAGTGAAAACAGCAGCTTGGTGACAAGTGAATCCACAGCACCGCTTCCAGTGAAACGCTGAACGTTGGATGTTGATTTCTGAGAGGATCTCTATTTGACAGAGGGACAGACGAAGTATGCGAGTTTTCCTTCTCTCTCAGCGCCATCCACAGGACTGAAGCATTTCCTTCTTGTTGTTGCGGTGCCTGTTGCGGAGAGATCCCGTCCCTCGGGTTCCTCCTCCTCAGCATTTCGTCATCTGACTCCGCAAAGTTTCATCTTCCTCGTTGATGTTCCTTATGAGCTGTGTCTGCCTGTTAAAGGTGATGGTGACAACCAGCCCATCAGGCTCCGCGTAAACGGCCTGAATGTGAACCCGAGAGATGGCATCCCGGACATTCAACAGTGTCTGCTGCAGCGTCCAAGTTATTCTTGTGCTGACTGCACCCATAGTTAGAGATCAGAGTTCCTTCTGGCTTCACAATGACTGATGACTTCACTTTTAATAGGAGAAGCGTCGGGTTATGGATTCTCGGGTTATGGATTCTCGGGTTACGGATACTCGGGTTTTGGATTTTCGGTGTACCCCGAAACATCTTCAATCTGAAAATGTTTTTCTAAAATGGGAAAAAAAAAAAAAAAATCTGAAATTCACTATTTTCTATTTCACAGTTTATGTGAACGATAGTGTTTTTTATTAAAAGCATATTGTCTCCCTGTAATGAAATAATGAAACTCGAACCTCTGTTAGAGAGACAGTTTTAGTGTCGGATTCAGAGCACCGGCTCTAGTGCGCCACTGGCTCCACTGTCTAATCACGGTGCAGAAGACAGCGACTCGACAGCGCGGACACAAAGTGAGTGAAAACAGTTGCTTGGTGAAAAGTGAATCTCTCGGTGCGCTCAGCCTCTGTCTGCTTTCCTGAACCCGTGGCTGCAGACATAAACCCCTCCCACTGCTCCTCCCCAGCCCGTCTGAATGGGGCCGGTACTTTGCTCATCGAGATTTGCTCTATTAACCTGACAGCAGTGCAGCAGTCTGAGCATTGGGATTGTTTGAATTGTCGAGCCACTGCAAACATTTCAATATGGCTGATGTGAATAGAAATGTTGTCGCTGTGCTCCAGCAGACACTGCGGGCTTTTCTTCGACACCTTGTTTCCCGCTTTGAAATCAGGCTGTGCATTGAAGAGCCACATGGTCTTGTTGTTGTCCTCCTCCGTGACGGAGATAGGCTGGCTGTGATCTTCATCACTAGTCTCCTGGGGGGCAACCCTGCTGACTCAGCTGCGTAGTCATGTTAAGGGAGGCATCCGATGGAGCCACTGACCCCCCAGAGACACTGAGCTCTGACTTCAGCCTACATCTCCAAAAAGGATATTTTGATACGCTGGACACATGATTGCAAGTGTTGTTGCTGCTGTTTGGTGACTTCAGCACAATCTCCCCTATCAAAGTGATTGGCAAATGCGCTCTGCACCTGCATATTGGACTTCCTCACTAACAGAACCGGGAGACACTTTGTGACAGGAGTCACACCTCCTCCACTCTAGTGCTCAACACCAGAGCACCTCGGGGCTGCGTGTGCGCTCTGCGCCCTCCTGTTCATACTGTACACCCTTGACTGCATCCACTGCCATGGACAAAACTCTGCTGTGAGGTTGTGCGTCTGACACCTCCATCATCGGCTGGATTTCACCCAACGATGAGACTTCGGAGAGGGACTTTGAGAGGAAATGAACAATCTTTCAAAGGAAAAATTCCTGCACAGAGCAGAACTTATTCCTCTTTGAGGAACCAAAGCTCTGCGATCACTGCTGCTCTGTCTCATTGATGTTGAATATGACCACCAGCAGCAACATCTTTAATCTGAAAATGTATTCCTAAAATGTAAAAAATCTTAATTTTCTTCTTCAATTCACAATTTCCCATTTGACGGTTTATGTGAATAAAAGTGTGTTTTATTAAAAGCATATTGTCTCCCTGTAATGAAGTGGTGAAACTTTAACCTCCTATATACAACCTCTTACCTCTATAGAAAACCCTTCCCTGTGCTGTGTTATAGAGAATTATGATAAGCGTTAGAATGGCGGGGTATGAATCAGCAGCAGACACTTTTACTCACGGCCCACAGAAGGCTTCCACAGGCTGATTATGAGCTCAGACACAGCAACAAATGAGTGAAAACACAGCACAGACCAACACAGGACAGAACTCAACATTTCCCACTAGTATTTTTATATTTATTAGTTTGTTTGCTTCTTTGGCTGTGAGCCTCTGTGCCATCTAGAGCGCACACAGGCTCACATACAGTCATGTGCTGGAGGAGAGTTTCCTCTGTCACTGCAGCACGTTGGATGTAATTATACCACACAATGAAGCTGGACAAAGTAAGATTAGATATGAATGCTTTTATTCGCATTTGTCATGAAAGAACATTTTAAACAACAGGCTAATATAATATGAAAACAGCAGAGTTAAGATGTGGACTTTAATGAGAATGGGGAGACACAATAGCACAGTGGGTACATATGAAGACAAACATCTAAAATGTTGAATGTCGCTATATCAGTATTCCAAACATGGAAAATGGAAATCTTCCGAAAACTCAAAAAAACCAAAAAAAAATGTAATAAAATATCTGTGATCTCTCTATCATACTCAAGTTAAATCCTCAACCCAACCTCGAATGGAGGGAGAAATGTTCTGTTTTTTCCGATTTTTTCAGAGCGTCTGATCTTCCGTCGACTCCAGCAAACAGTCCCAAAAACACGGACAAGGTGCGCAGTAGTGTGTTCAATCCACCTCCGTGTCTTCAGACAGGCGGCTCGACAGCGCGGACACAAAGTGAGTGAAAACAGCAGCTTGGTGACAAGTGAATCCACAGCACCGCTTCCAGTGAAACGCTGAACGTTGGATGTTGATTTCTGAGAGGATCTCTATTTGACAGAGGGACAGACGAAGTATGCGAGTTTTCCTTCTCTCTCAGCGCCATCCACAGGACTGAAGCATTTCCTTCTTGTTGTTGCGGTGCCTGTTGCGGAGAGATCCCGTCCCTCGGGTTCCTCCTCCTCAGCATTTCGTCATCTGACTCCGCAAAGTTTCATCTTCCTCGTTGATGTTCCTTATGAGCTGTGTCTGCCTGTTAAAGGTGATGGTGACAACCAGCCCATCAGGCTCCGCGTAAACGGCCTGAATGTGAACCCGAGAGATGGCATCCCGGACATTCAACAGTGTCTGCTGCAGCGTCCAAGTTATTCTTGTGCTGACTGCACCCATAGTTAGAGATCAGAGTTCCTTCTGGCTTCACAATGACTGATGACTTCACTTTTAATAGGAGAAGCGTCGGGTTATGGATTCTCGGGTTATGGATCCTCGGGTTACGGATACTCGGGTTATGGGTACTCGGGTTATGGATACTCGGGTTTTGGATTTTCGGTGTACCCCGAAACATCTTCAATCTGAAAATGTTTTTCTAAAATGGGGAAAAAAAAAAAAAAAAAATCTGAAATTCACTATTTTCTATTTCACAGTTTATGTGAACGATAGTGTTTTTTATTACAAGCATATTGTCTCCCTGTAATTAAATAATGAAACTCGAACCTCTGTTAGAGAGACAGTTTTAGTGTCGGATTCAGAGCACCGGCTCTAGTGCGCCACTGGCTCCACTGTCTAATCACGGTGCAGAAGCCAAAGTCACTCCGCCTTCCTTTCTCTAATGCAGACGGGTTCTAGCAGAGAAAAAGAGCCATGGGATGTTCCTCTATACGCCTTCACTGTGCTGTGCCCGTCCTTGGCACGATGAATCATACACGTAAGAATGCCGGGGTATGAATCAACAGCAGACACTTTTACGCACGGCCCACAGAAGGCTTCCACGGGCTGATTATGAGCTCAGATCCAACAACAAATTATTAAAAACACAACACAGGCCAGAACTCAACATTTCCCACTAGTATTTAGAATTAGTTTCTTTGCTTCTTTGGCTGTGAGCCTCTGTGCCATCAAGAGGGCACGCATACCTCATGTGCTGGAGGAGAGTTTCCTCTGTCACAGCAGCTTTTTATTCGGTTACCGCTGTTTTTATTCGGCTTCATGATTAAAAAGCAATCACAAATCTTTAAATACACACGTTAGATGTAATTATAAGACACAATGAAGCTGGAAAAGGGTGTGTTATCAAGTGTAATGCTTGTATTCGCATTTGTCATGAAAGAACATGTTAAACAACAGGCTATGACAATTTGAAAACAGCAGAGTTAAGATGTGGACTTTAATGAGAATGGGGAGACACAATAGCACATTGGGTACACATGAAGACAATTTCCTGAATTGTTGAATGTCGCTATATCTGAATCCGAAACATGAAAAATGGAAATCTTCCGAAAACTCAACAAAACACAAAAACAAAACAAAAAAATGTAATAAAGAGCGTCTGATCTTCCGTCGACTCCAGCAAACAGTCCCAAAAACACGGACAAGGTGCGCAGTAGTGTGTTCAATCCACCTCCGTGTCTTCAGACAGAGACAGCGACTCGACAGCGCGGACACAAAGTGAGTGAAAACAGCAGCTTGGTGACAAGTGAATCCACAGTGAAACGCTGAACGTTGAATGTTGATTTCTGAGAGGATCTCTATTTGACAGAGGGACAGACGAAGTATGCGAGTTTTCCTCCTCTCTCAGCGCCATCCACAGGACTGAAGCATTTCCTTCTTGTTGTTGCGGTGCCTGTTGCGGAGAGATCCCGTCCCTCGGGTTCCTCCTCCTCAGCATTTCGTCATCTGACTCGCAAAGTTTCATTTTCCCCGTTGATGTTCCTTATGAGCTGTGTCTGCCTGTTAAAGGTGATGGTGACAACCAGCCCATCAGGCTCCGCGTAACCGGCCTGAATGTGAACCCGAGAGATGGCATCCCGGACATTCAACAGTGTCTGCTGCAGCGTCCAAGTTATTCTTGTGCTGACTGCACCCATAGTTAGAGATCAGAGTTCCTTCTGGCTTCACAATGACTGATGACTTCACTTTTAATAGGAGAAGCGTCGGGTTATGGATTCTCGGGTTACGGATACTCGGGTTTTGGATTTTCGGTGTACCCCGAAACATCTTCAATCTGAAAATGTTTTTCTAAAATGGGAAAAAAAAAAAAAAAATCTGAAATTCACTATTTTCTATTTCACAGTTTATGTGAACGATAGTGTTTTTTATTAAAAGCATATTGTCTCCCTGTAATGAAATAATGAAACTCGAACCTCTGTTAGAGAGACAGTTTTAGTGTCGGATTCAGAGCACCGGCTCTAGTGCGCCACTGGCTCCACTGTCTAATCACGGTGCAGAAGACAGCGACTCGACAGCGCGGACACAAAGTGAGTGAAAACAGTTGCTTGGTGAAAAGTGAATCTCTCGGTGCGCTCAGCCTCTGTCTGCTTTCCTGAACCCGTGGCTGCAGACATAAACCCCTCCCACTGCTCCTCCCCAGCCCGTCTGAATGGGGCCGGTACTTTGCTCATCGAGATTTGCTCTATTAACCTGACAGCAGTGCAGCAGTCTGAGCATTGGGATTGTTTGAATTGTCGAGCCACTGCAAACATTTCAATATGGCTGATGTGAATAGAAATGTTGTCGCTGTGCTCCAGCAGACACTGCGGGCTTTTCTTCGACACCTTGTTTCCCGCTTTGAAATCAGGCTGTGCATTGAAGAGCCACATGGTCTTGTTGTTGTCCTCCTCCGTGACGGAGATAGGCTGGCTGTGATCTTCATCACTAGTCTCCTGGGGGGCAACCCTGCTGACTCAGCTGCGTAGTCATGTTAAGGGAGGCATCCGATGGAGCCACTGACCCCCAGAGACACTGAGCTCTGACTTCAGCCTACATCTCCAAAAAGGATATTTTGATACGCTGGACACATGATTGCAAGTGTTGTTGCTGCTGTTTGGTGACTTCAGCACAATCTCCCCTATCAAAGTGATTGGCAAATGCGCTCTGCACCTGCATATTGGACTTCCTCACTAACAGAACCGGGAGACACTTTGTGACAGGAGTCACACCTCCTCCACTCTAGTGCTCAACACCAGAGCACCTCGGGGCTGCGTGTGCGCTCTGCGCCCTCCTGTTCATACTGTACACCCTTGACTGCATCCACTGCCATGGACAAAACTCTGCTGTGAGGTTGTGCGTCTGACACCTCCATCATCGGCTGGATTTCACCCAACGATGAGACTTCGGAGAGGGACTTTGAGAGGAAATGAACAATCTTTCAAAGGAAAAATTCCTGCACAGAGCAGAACTTATTCCTCTTTGAGGAACCAAAGCTCTGCGATCACTGCTGCTCTGTCTCATTGATGTTGAATATGACCACCAGCAGCAACATCTTTAATCTGAAAATGTATTCCTAAAATGTAAAAAATCTTAATTTTCTTCTTCAATTCACAATTTCCCATTTGACGGTTTATGTGAATAAAAGTGTGTTTTATTAAAAGCATATTGTCTCCCTGTAATGAAGTGGTGAAACTTTAACCTCCTATATACAACCTCTTACCTCTATAGAAAACCCTTCCCTGTGCTGTGTTATAGAGAATTATGATAAGCGTTAGAATGGCGGGGTATGAATCAGCAGCAGACACTTTTACGCACGGCCCACAGAAGGCTTCCACAGGCTGATTATGAGCTCAGACACAGCAACAAATGAGTGAAAACACAGCACAGACCAACACAGGACAGAACTCAACATTTCCCACTAGTATTTTTATATTTATTAGTTTGTTTGCTTCTTTGGCTGTGAGCCTCTGTGCCATCTAGAGCGCACACAGGCTCACATACAGTCATGTGCTGGAGGAGAGTTTCCTCTGTCACTGCAGCACGTTGGATGTAATTATACCACACAATGAAGCTGGACAAAGTAAGATTAGATATGAATGCTTTTATTCGCATTTGTCATGAAAGAACATTTTAAACAACAGGCTAATATAATATGAAAACAGCAGAGTTAAGATGTGGACTTTAATGAGAATGGGGAGACACAATAGCACAGTGGGTACATATGAAGACAAACATCTAAAATGTTGAATGTCGCTATATCAGTATTCCAAACATGGAAAATGGAAATCTTCCGAAAACTCAAAAAAACAAAAAAAATGTTATAAAATATCTGTGATCTCTCTACAATACTCAAGTTAAATCCTCAACCCAACCTCGAATGGAGGGAGAAATGTTCTGTTTTTTCCGATTTTTTCAGAGCGTCTGATCTTCCGTCGACTCCAGCAAACAGTCCCAAAAACACGGACAAGGTGCGCAGTAGTGTGTTCAATCCACCTCCGTGTCTTCAGACAGGGACAGCGCGGACACAAAGTGAGTGAAAACAGCAGCTTGGTGACAAGTGAATCCACAGCACCGCTTCCAGTGAAACGCTGAACGTTGAATGTTGATTTCTGAGAGGATCTCTATTTGACAGAGGGACAGACGAAGTATGCGAGTTTTCCTTCTCTCTCAGCGCCATCGACAGGTCTGAAGCATTTCCTTCTTGTTGTTGCGGTGCCTGTTGCGGAGAGATCCCGTCCCTCGGGTTCCTCCTCCTCAGCATTTCGTCATCTGACTCCGCAAAGTTTCATCTCCCTCGTTGATGTTCCTTATGAGCTGTGTCTGCCTGTTAAAGGTGATGGTGACAACCAGCCCATCAGGCTCCGCGTAAACGGCCTGAATGTGAACCCGAGAGATGGCATCCCGGACATTCAACAGTGTCTGCTGCAGCGTCCAAGTTATTCTTGTGCTGACTGCACCCATAGTTAGAGATCAGAGTTCCTTCTGGCTTCACAATGACTGATCACTTCACTTTTAATAGGAGAAGCGTCGGGTTATGGATTCTCGGGTTATGGATCCTCGGGTTACGGATACTCGGGTTATGGGTACTCGGGTTATGGATACTCGGGTTTTGGATTTTCGGTGTACCCCGAAACATCTTCAATCTGAAAATGTTTTTCTAAAATGGGGAAAAAAAAAAAAAAAAAATCTGAAATTCACTATTTTCTATTTCACAGTTTATGTGAACGATAGTGTTTTTTATTACAAGCATATTGTCTCCCTGTAATTAAATAATGAAACTCGAACCTCTGTTAGAGAGACAGTTTTAGTGTCGGATTCAGAGCACCGGCTCTAGTGCGCCACTGGCTCCACTGTCTAATCACGGTGCAGAAGCCAAAGTCACTCCGCCTTCCTTTCTCTAATGCAGACGGGTTCTAGCAGAGAAAAAGAGCCATGGGATGTTCCTCTATACGCCTTCACTGTGCTGTGCCCGTCCTTGGCACGATGAATCAACAGCAGACACTTTTACGCACGGCCCACAGAAGGCTTCCACGGGCTGATTATGTGCTCAGATCCAACAACAAATTATTAAAAACACAACACAGGCCAGAACTCAACATTTCCCACTAGTATTTAGAATTAGTTTCTTTGCTTCTTTGGCTGTGAGCCTCTGTGCCATCGAGAGGGCACGCATACCTCATGTGCTGGAGGAGAGTTTCCTCTGTCACAGCAGCTTTTTATTCGGTTACCGCTGTTTTTATTCGGCTTCATGATTAAAAAGCAATCACAAATCTTTAAATACACACATGTTAGATGTAATTATAAGACACAATGAAGCTGGAAAAGGGTGTGTTATCAAGTGTAATGCTTGTATTCGCATTTGTCACGAAAGAACATGTTAAACAACAGGCTATGACAATATGAAAACAGCAGAGTTAAGATGTGGACTTTAATGAGAATGGGGAGACACAATAGCACATTGGGTACACATGAAGACAATTTCCTGAATTGTTGAATGTCGCTATATCTGAATCCGAAACATGAAAAATGGAAATCTTCCGAAAACTCAACAAAACACAAAAACAAAACAAAAAAATGTAATAAAGAGCGTCTGATCTTCCGTCGACTCCAGCAAACAGTCCCAAAAACACGGACAAGGTGCGCAGTAGTGTGTTCAATCCACCTCCGTGTCTTCAGACAGAGACAGCGACTCGACAGCGCGGACACAAAGTGAGTGAAAACAGCAGCTTGGTGACAAGTGAATCCACAGTGAAACGCTGAACGTTGAATGTTGATTTCTGAGAGGATCTCTATTTGACAGAGGGACAGACGAAGTATGCGAGTTTTCCTCCTCTCTCAGCGCCATCCACAGGACTGAAGCATTTCCTTCTTGTTGTTGCGGTGCCTGTTGCGGAGAGATCCCGTCCCTCGGGTTCCTCCTCCTCAGCATTTCGTCATCTGACTCGCAAAGTTTCATTTTCCCCGTTGATGTTCCTTATGAGCTGTGTCTGCCTGTTAAAGGTGATGGTGACAACCAGCCCATCAGGCTCCGCGTAACCGGCCTGAATGTGAACCCGAGAGATGGCATCCCGGACATTCAACAGTGTCTGCTGCAGCGTCCAAGTTATTCTTGTGCTGACTGCACCCATAGTTAGAGATCAGAGTTCCTTCTGGCTTCACAATGACTGATGACTTCACTTTTAATAGGAGAAGCGTCGGGTTATGGATTCTCGGGTTATGGATTCTCGGGTTACGGATACTCGGGTTTTGGATTTTCGGTGTACCCCGAAACATCTTCAATCTGAAAATGTTTTTCTAAAATGGAAAAAAAAAAAAAAATCTGAAATTCACTATTTTCTATTTCACAGTTTATGTGAACGATAGTGTTTTTTATTAAAAGCATATTGTCTCCCTGTAATGAAATAATGAAACTCGAACCTCTGTTAGAGAGACAGTTTTAGTGTCGGATTCAGAGCACCGGCTCTAGTGCGCCACTGGCTCCACTGTCTAATCACGGTGCAGAAGACAGCGACTCGACAGCGCGGACACAAAGTGAGTGAAAACAGTTGCTTGGTGAAAAGTGAATCTCTCGGTGCGCTCAGCCTCTGTCTGCTTTCCTGAACCCGTGGCTGCAGACATAAACCCCTCCCACTGCTCCTCCCCAGCCCGTCTGAATGGGGCCGGTACTTTGCTCATCGAGATTTGCTCTATTAACCTGACAGCAGTGCAGCAGTCTGAGCATTGGGATTGTTTGAATTGTCGAGCCACTGCAAACATTTCAATATGGCTGATGTGAATAGAAATGTTGTCGCTGTGCTCCAGCAGACACTGCGGGCTTTTCTTCGACACCTTGTTTCCCGCTTTGAAATCAGGCTGTGCATTGAAGAGCCACATGGTCTTGTTGTTGTCCTCCTCCGTGACGGAGATAGGCTGGCTGTGATCTTCATCACTAGTCTCCTGGGGGGCAACCCTGCTGACTCAGCTGCGTAGTCATGTTAAGGGAGGCATCCGATGGAGCCACTGACCCCCAGAGACACTGAGCTCTGACTTCAGCCTACATCTCCAAAAAGGATATTTTGATACGCTGGACACATGATTGCAAGTGTTGTTGCTGCTGTTTGGTGACTTCAGCACAATCTCCCCTATCAAAGTGATTGGCAAATGCGCTCTGCACCTGCATATTGGACTTCCTCACTAACAGAACCGGGAGACACTTTGTGACAGGAGTCACACCTCCTCCACTCTAGTGCTCAACACCAGAGCACCTCGGGGCTGCGTGTGCGCTCTGCGCCCTCCTGTTCATACTGTACACCCTTGACTGCATCCACTGCCATGGACAAAACTCTGCTGTGAGGTTGTGCGTCTGACACCTCCATCATCGGCTGGATTTCACCCAACGATGAGACTTCGGAGAGGGACTTTGAGAGGAAATGAACAATCTTTCAAAGGAAAAATTCCTGCACAGAGCAGAACTTATTCCTCTTTGAGGAACCAAAGCTCTGCGATCACTGCTGCTCTGTCTCATTGATGTTGAATATGACCACCAGCAGCAACATCTTTAATCTGAAAATGTATTCCTAAAATGTAAAAAATCTTAATTTTCTTCTTCAATTCACAATTTCCCATTTGACGGTTTATGTGAATAAAAGTGTGTTTTATTAAAAGCATATTGTCTCCCTGTAATGAAGTGGTGAAACTTTAACCTCCCATATACAACCTCTTACCTCTATAGAAAACCCTTCCCTGTGCTGTGTTATAGAGAATTATGATAAGCGTTAGAATGGCGGGGTATGAATCAGCAGAAGACACTTTTACGCACGGCCCACAGAAGGCTTCCACAGGCTGATTATGAGCTCAGACACAGCAACAAATGAGTGAAAACACAGCACAGACCAACACAGGACAGAACTCAACATTTCCCACTAGTATTTTTATATTTATTAGTTTGTTTGCTTCTTTGGCTGTGAGCCTCTGTGCCATCTAGAGCGCACACAGGCTCACATACAGTCATGTGCTGGAGGAGAGTTTCCTCTGTCACTGCAGCACGTTGGATGTAATTATACCACACAATGAAGCTGGACAAAGTAAGATTAGATATGAATGCTTTTATTCGCATTTGTCATGAAAGAACATTTTAAACAACAGGCTAATATAATATGAAAACAGCAGAGTTAAGATGTGGACTTTAATGAGAATGGGGAGACACAATAGCACAGTGGGTACATATGAAGACAAACATCTAAAATGTTGAATGTCGCTATATCAGTATTCCAAACATGGAAAATGGAAATCTTCCGAAAACTCAAAAAAAACAAAAAAAATGTAATAAAATATCTGTGATCTCTCTATCATACTCAAGTTAAATCCTCAACCCAACCTCGAATGGAAGGAGAAATGTTCTGTTTTTTCCGATTTTTTCAGAGCGTCTGATCTTCCGTCGACTCCAGCAAACAGTCCCAAAAACACGGACAAGGTGCGCAGTAGTGTGTTCAATCCACCTCCGTGTCTTCAGACAGGGACAGCGCGGACACAAAGTGAGTGAAAACAGCAGCTTGGTGACAAGTGAATCCACAGCACCGCTTCCAGTGAAACGCTGAACGTTGGATGTTGATTTCTGAGAGGATCTCTATTTGACAGAGGGACAGACGAAGTATGCGAGTTTTCCTTCTCTCTCAGCGCCATCCACAGGACTGAAGCATTTCCTTCTTGTTGTTGCGGTGCCTGTTGCGGAGAGATCCCGTCCCTCGGGTTCCTCCTCCTCAGCATTTCGTCATCTGACTCCGCAAAGTTTCATCTTCCTCGTTGATGTTCCTTATGAGCTGTGTCTGCCTGTTAAAGGTGATGGTGACAACCAGCCCATCAGGCTCCGCGTAAACGGCCTGAATGTGAACCCGAGAGATGGCATCCCGGACATTCAACAGTGTCTGCTGCAGCGTCCAAGTTATTCTTGTGCTGACTGCACCCATAGTTAGAGATCAGAGTTCCTTCTGGCTTCACAATGACTGATCACTTCACTTTTAATAGGAGAAGCGTCGGGTTATGGATTCTCGGGTTATGGATCCTCGGGTTACGGATACTCGGGTTATGGGTACTCGGGTTATGGATACTCGGGTTTTGGATTTTCGGTGTACCCCGAAACATCTTCAATCTGAAAATGTTTTTCTAAAATGGGGAAAAAAAAAAAAAAAAAATCTGAAATTCACTATTTTCTATTTCACAGTTTATGTGAACGATAGTGTTTTTTATTACAAGCATATTGTCTCCCTGTAATTAAATAATGAAACTCGAACCTCTGTTAGAGAGACAGTTTTAGTGTCGGATTCAGAGCACCGGCTCTAGTGCGCCACTGGCTCCACTGTCTAATCACGGTGCAGAAGCCAAAGTCACTCCGCCTTCCTTTCTCTAATGCAGACGGGTTCTAGCAGAGAAAAAGAGCCATGGGATGTTCCTCTATACGCCTTCACTGTGCTGTGCCCGTCCTTGGCACGATGAATCAACAGCAGACACTTTTACGCACGGCCCACAGAAGGCTTCCACGGGCTGATTATGTGCTCAGATCCAACAACAAATTATTAAAAACACAACACAGGCCAGAACTCAACATTTCCCACTAGTATTTAGAATTAGTTTCTTTGCTTCTTTGGCTGTGAGCCTCTGTGCCATCGAGAGGGCACGCATACCTCATGTGCTGGAGGAGAGTTTCCTCTGTCACAGCAGCTTTTTATTCGGTTACCGCTGTTTTTATTCGGCTTCATGATTAAAAAGCAATCACAAATCTTTAAATACACACATGTTAGATGTAATTATAAGACACAATGAAGCTGGAAAAGGGTGTGTTATCAAGTGTAATGCTTGTATTCGCATTTGTCACGAAAGAACATGTTAAACAACAGGCTATGACAATATGAAAACAGCAGAGTTAAGATGTGGACTTTAATGAGAATGGGGAGACACAATAGCACATTGGGTACACATGAAGACAATTTCCTGAATTGTTGAATGTCGCTATATCTGAATCCGAAACATGAAAAATGGAAATCTTCCGAAAACTCAACAAAACACAAAAACAAAACAAAAAAATGTAATAAAGAGCGTCTGATCTTCCGTCGACTCCAGCAAACAGTCCCAAAAACACGGACAAGGTGCGCAGTAGTGTGTTCAATCCACCTCCGTGTCTTCAGACAGAGACAGCGACTCGACAGCGCGGACACAAAGTGAGTGAAAACAGCAGCTTGGTGACAAGTGAATCCACAGTGAAACGCTGAACGTTGAATGTTGATTTCTGAGAGGATCTCTATTTGACAGAGGGACAGACGAAGTATGCGAGTTTTCCTCCTCTCTCAGCGCCATCCACAGGACTGAAGCATTTCCTTCTTGTTGTTGCGGTGCCTGTTGCGGAGAGATCCCGTCCCTCGGGTTCCTCCTCCTCAGCATTTCGTCATCTGACTCGCAAAGTTTCATTTTCCCCGTTGATGTTCCTTATGAGCTGTGTCTGCCTGTTAAAGGTGATGGTGACAACCAGCCCATCAGGCTCCGCGTAACCGGCCTGAATGTGAACCCGAGAGATGGCATCCCGGACATTCAACAGTGTCTGCTGCAGCGTCCAAGTTATTCTTGTGCTGACTGCACCCATAGTTAGAGATCAGAGTTCCTTCTGGCTTCACAATGACTGATGACTTCACTTTTAATAGGAGAAGCGTCGGGTTATGGATTCTCGGGTTATGGATTCTCGGGTTACGGATACTCGGGTTTTGGATTTTCGGTGTACCCCGAAACATCTTCAATCTGAAAATGTTTTTCTAAAATGGGAAAAAAAAAAAAAAAAAATCTGAAATTCACTATTTTCTATTTCACAGTTTATGTGAACGATAGTGTTTTTTATTAAAAGCATATTGTCTCCCTGTAATGAAATAATGAAACTCGAACCTCTGTTAGAGAGACAGTTTTAGTGTCGGATTCAGAGCACCGGCTCTAGTGCGCCACTGGCTCCACTGTCTAATCACGGTGCAGAAGACAGCGACTCGACAGCGCGGACACAAAGTGAGTGAAAACAGTTGCTTGGTGAAAAGTGAATCTCTTGGTGCGCTCAGCCTCTGTCTGCTTTCCTGAACCCGTGGCTGCAGACATAAACCCCTCCCACTGCTCCTCCCCAGCCCGTCTGAATGGGGCCGGTACTTTGCTCATCGAGATTTGCTCTATTAACCTGACAGCAGTGCAGCAGTCTGAGCATTGGGATTGTTTGAATTGTCGAGCCACTGCAAACATTTCAATATGGCTGATGTGAATAGAAATGTTGTCGCTGTGCTCCAGCAGACACTGCGGGCTTTTCTTCGACACCTTGTTTCCCGCTTTGAAATCAGGCTGTGCATTGAAGAGCCACATGGTCTTGTTGTTGTCCTCCTCCGTGACGGAGATAGGCTGGCTGTGATCTTCATCACTAGTCTCCTGGGGGGCAACCCTGCTGACTCAGCTGCGTAGTCATGTTAAGGGAGGCATCCGATGGAGCCACTGACCCCCAGAGACACTGAGCTCTGACTTCAGCCTACATCTCCAAAAAGGATATTTTGATACGCTGGACACATGATTGCAAGTGTTGTTGCTGCTGTTTGGTGACTTCAGCACAATCTCCCCTATCAAAGTGATTGGCAAATGCGCTCTGCACCTGCATATTGGACTTCCTCACTAACAGAACCGGGAGACACTTTGTGACAGGAGTCACACCTCCTCCACTCTAGTGCTCAACACCAGAGCACCTCGGGGCTGCGTGTGCGCTCTGCCCCCTCCTGTTCATACTGTACACCCTTGACTGCATCCACTGCCATGGACAAAACTCTGCTGTGAGGTTGTGCGTCTGACACCTCCATCATCGGCTGGATTTCACCCAACGATGAGACTTCGGAGAGGGACTTTGAGAGGAAATGAACAATCTTTCAAAGGAAAAATTCCTGCACAGAGCAGAACTTATTCCTCTTTGAGGAACCAAAGCTCTGCGATCACTGCTGCTCTGTCTCATTGATGTTGAATATGACCACCAGCAGCAACATCTTTAATCTGAAAATGTATTCCTAAAATGTAAAAAATCTTAATTTTCTTCTTCAATTCACAATTTCCCATTTGACGGTTTATGTGAATAAAAGTGTGTTTTATTAAAAGCATATTGTCTCCCTGTAATGAAGTGGTGAAACTTTAACCTCCCATATACAACCTCTTACCTCTATAGAAAACCCTTCCCTGTGCTGTGTTATAGAGAATTATGATAAGCGTTAGAATGGCGGGGTATGAATCAGCAGAAGACACTTTTACGCACGGCCCACAGAAGGCTTCCACAGGCTGATTATGAGCTCAGACACAGCAACAAATGAGTGAAAACACAGCACAGACCAACACAGGACAGAACTCAACATTTCCCACTAGTATTTTTATATTTATTAGTTTGTTTGCTTCTTTGGCTGTGAGCCTCTGTGCCATCTAGAGCGCACACAGGCTCACATACAGTCATGTGCTGGAGGAGAGTTTCCTCTGTCACTGCAGCACGTTGGATGTAATTATACCACACAATGAAGCTGGACAAAGTAAGATTAGATATGAATGCTTTTATTCGCATTTGTCATGAAAGAACATTTTAAACAACAGGCTAATATAATATGAAAACAGCAGAGTTAAGATGTGGACTTTAATGAGAATGGGGAGACACAATAGCACAGTGGGTACATATGAAGACAAACATCTAAAATGTTGAATGTCGCTATATCAGTATTCCAAACATGGAAAATGGAAATCTTCCGAAAACTCAAAAAAACCAAAAAAATGTAATAAAATATCTGTGATCTCTCTATCATACTCAAGTTAAATCCTCAACCCAACCTCGAATGGAAGGAGAAATGTTCTGTTTTTTCCGATTTTTTCAGAGCGTCTGATCTTCCGTCGACTCCAGCAAACAGTCCCAAAAACACGGACAAGGTGCGCAGTAGTGTGTTCAATCCACCTCCGTGTCTTCAGACAGGGACAGCGACTCGACAGCGCGGACACAAAGTGAGTGAAAACAGCAGCTTGGTGACAAGTGAATCCACAGCACCGCTTCCAGTGAAACGCTGAACGTTGAATGTTGATTTCTGAGAGGATCTCTATTTGACAGAGGGACAGACGAAGTATGCGAGTTTTCCTCCTCTCTCAGCGCCATCCACAGGACTGAAGCATTTCCTTCTTGTTGTTGCGGTGCCTGTTGCGGAGAGATCCCGTCCCTCGGGTTCCTCCTCCTCAGCATTTCGTCATCTGACTCCGCAAAGTTTCATCTCCCTCGTTGATGTTCCTTATGAGCTGTGTCTGCCTGTTAAAGGTGATGGTGACAACCAGCCCATCAGGCTCCGCGTAAACGGCCTGAATGTGAACCCGAGAGATGGCATCCCGGACATTCAACAGTGTCTGCTGCAGCGTCCAAGTTATTCTTGTGCTGACTGCACCCATAGTTAGAGATCAGAGTTCCTTCTGGCTTCACAATGACTGATCACTTCACTTTTAATAGGAGAAGCGTCGGGTTATGGATTCTCGGGTTATGGATCCTCGGGTTACGGATACTCGGGTTATGGATTCTCGGGTTATGGGTACTCGGGTTATGGATACTCGGGTTTTGGATTTTCGGTGTACCCCGAAACATCTTCAATCTGAAAATGTTTTTCTAAAATGGGAAAAAAAAAAAAAAAAAAATCTGAAATTCACTATTTTCTATTTCACAGTTTATGTGAACGATAGTGTTTTTTTATTACAAGCATATTGTCTCCCTCTAATTAAATAATGAAACTCGAACCTCTGTTAGAGAGAAAGTTTTAGTGTCGGATTCAGAGCACCGGCTCTAGTGCGCCACTGGCTCCACTGTCTAATCACGGTGCAGAAGACAGCGACTCGACAGCGCGGACACAAAGTGAGTGAAAACAGTTGCTTGGTGAAAAGTGAATCTCTCGGTGCGCTCAGCCTCTGTCTGCTTTCCTGAACCCGTGGCTGCAGACATAAACCCCTCCCACTGCTCCTCCCCAGCCCGTCTGAATGGGGCCGGTACTTTGCTCATCGAGATTTGCTCTATTAACCTGACAGCAGTGCAGCAGTCTGAGCATTGGGATTGTTTGAATTGTCGAGCCACTGCAAACATTTCAATATGGCTGATGTGAATAGAAATGTTGTCGCTGTGCTCCAGCAGACACTGCGGGCTTTTCTTCGACACCTTGTTTCCCGCTTTGAAATCAGGCTGTGCATTGAAGAGCCACATGGTCTTGTTGTTGTCCTCCTCCGTGACGGAGATAGGCTGGCTGTGATCTTCATCACTAGTCTCCTGGGGGGCAACCCTGCTGACTCAGCTGCGTAGTCATGTTAAGGGAGGCATCCGAGGGAGCCACTGACCCCCAGAGACACTGAGCTCTGACTTCAGCCTACATCTCCAAAAAGGATATTTTGATACGCTGGACACATGATTGCAAGTGTTGTTGCTGCTGTTTGGTGACTTCAGCACAATCTCCCCTATCAAAGTGATTGGCAAATGCGCTCTGCACCTGCATATTGGACTTCCTCACTAACAGAACCGGGAGACACTTTGTGACAGGAGTCACACCTCCTCCACTCTAGTGCTCAACACCAGAGCACCTCGGGGCTGCGTGTGCGCTCTGCGCCCTCCTGTTCATACTGTACACCCTTGACTGCATCCACTGCCATGGACAAAACTCTGCTGTGAGGTTGTGCGTCTGACACCTCCATCATCGGCTGGATTTCACCCAACGATGAGACTTCGGAGAGGGACTTTGAGAGGAAATGAACAATCTTTCAAAGGAAAAATTCCTGCACAGAGCAGAACTTATTCCTCTTTGAGGAACCAAAGCTCTGCGATCACTGCTGCTCTGTCTCATTGATGTTGAATATGACCACCAGCAGCAACATCTTTAATCTGAAAATGTATTCCTAAAATGTAAAAAATCTTAATTTTCTTCTTCAATTCACAATTTCCCATTTGACGGTTTATGTGAATAAAAGTGTGTTTTATTAAAAGCATATTGTCTCCCTGTAATGAAGTGGTGAAACTTTAACCTCCTATATACAACCTCTTACCTCTATAGAAAACCCTTCCCTGTGCTGTGTTATAGAGAATTATGATAAGCGTTAGAATGGCGGGGTATGAATCAGCAGCAGACACTTTTACGCACGGCCCACAGAAGGCTTCCACAGGCTGATTATGAGCTCAGACACAGCAACAAATGAGTGAAAACACAGCACAGACCAACACAGGACAGAACTCAACATTTCCCACTAGTATTTTTATATTTATTAGTTTGTTTGCTTCTTTGGCTGTGAGCCTCTGTGCCATCTAGAGCGCACACAGGCTCACATACAGTCATGTGCTGGAGGAGAGTTTCCTCTGTCACTGCAGCACGTTGGATGTAATTATACCACACAATGAAGCTGGACAAAGTAAGATTAGATATGAATGCTTTTATTCGCATTTGTCATGAAAGAACATTTTAAACAACAGGCTAATATAATATGAAAACAGCAGAGTTAAGATGTGGACTTTAATGAGAATGGGGAGACACAATAGCACAGTGGGTACATATGAAGACAAACATCTAAAATGTTGAATGTCGCTATATCAGTATTCCAAACATGGAAAATGGAAATCTTCCGAAAACTCAAAAAAACCAAAAAAAATGTAATAAAATATCTGTGATCTCTCTATCATACTCAAGTTAAATCCTCAACCCAACCTCGAATGGAGGGAGAAATGTTCTGTTTTTTCCGATTTTTTCAGAGCGTCTGATCTTCCGTCGACTCCAGCAAACAGTCCCAAAAACACGGACAAGGTGCGCAGTAGTGTGTTCAATCCACCTCCGTGTCTTCAGACAGGGACAGCGCGGACACAAAGTGAGTGAAAACAGCAGCTTGGTGACAAGTGAATCCACAGCACCGCTTCCAGTGAAACGCTGAACGTTGGATGTTGATTTCTGAGAGGATCTCTATTTGACAGAGGGACAGACGAAGTATGCGAGTTTTCCTTCTCTCTCAGCGCCATCCACAGGACTGAAGCATTTCCTTCTTGTTGTTGCGGTGCCTGTTGCGGAGAGATCCCGTCCCTCGGGTTCCTCCTCCTCAGCATTTCGTCATCTGACTCCGCAAAGTTTCATCTTCCTCGTTGATGTTCCTTATGAGCTGTGTCTGCCTGTTAAAGGTGATGGTGACAACCAGCCCATCAGGCTCCGCGTAAACGGCCTGAATGTGAACCCGAGAGATGGCATCCCGGACATTCAACAGTGTCTGCTGCAGCGTCCAAGTTATTCTTGTGCTGACTGCACCCATAGTTAGAGATCAGAGTTCCTTCTGGCTTCACAATGACTGATCACTTCACTTTTAATAGGAGAAGCGTCGGGTTATGGATTCTCGGGTTATGGATCCTCGGGTTACGGATACTCGGGTTATGGGTACTCGGGTTATGGATACTCGGGTTTTGGATTTTCGGTGTACCCCGAAACATCTTCAATCTGAAAATGTTTTTCTAAAATGGGAAAAAAAAAAAAAAAAAAATCTGAAATTCACTATTTTCTATTTCACAGTTTATGTGAACGATAGTGTTTTTTATTACAAGCATATTGTCTCCCTGTAATTAAATAATGAAACTCGAACCTCTGTTAGAGAGACAGTTTTAGTGTCGGATTCAGAGCACCGGCTCTAGTGCGCCACTGGCTCCACTGTCTAATCACGGTGCAGAAGACAGCGACTCGACAGCGCGGACACAAAGTGAGTGAAAACAGTTGCTTGGTGAAAAGTGAATCTCTCGGTGCGCTCAGCCTCTGTCTGCTTTCCTGAACCCGTGGCTGCAGACATAAACCCCTCCCACTGCTCCTCCCCAGCCCGTCTGAATGGGGCCGGTACTTTGCTCATCGAGATTTGCTCTATTAACCTGACAGCAGTGCAGCAGTCTGAGCATTGGGATTGTTTGAATTGTCGAGCCACTGCAAACATTTCAATATGGCTGATGTGAATAGAAATGTTGTCGCTGTGCTCCAGCAGACACTGCGGGCTTTTCTTCGACACCTTGTTTCCCGCTTTGAAATCAGGCTGTGCATTGAAGAGCCACATGGTCTTGTTGTTGTCCTCCTCCGTGACGGAGATAGGCTGGCTGTGATCTTCATCACTAGTCTCCTGGGGGGCAACCCTGCTGACTCAGCTGCGTAGTCATGTTAAGGGGAGGCATCCGATGGAGCCACTGACCCCCAGAGACACTGAGCTCTGACTTCAGCCTACATCTCCAAAAAGGATATTTTGATACGCTGGACACATGATTGCAAGTGTTGTTGCTGCTGTTTGGTGACTTCAGCACAATCTCCCCTATCAAAGTGATTGGCAAATGCGCTCTGCACCTGCATATTGGACTTCCTCACTAACAGAACCGGGAGACACTTTGTGACAGGAGTCACACCTCCTCCACTCTAGTGCTCAACACCAGAGCACCTCGGGGCTGCGTGTGCGCTCTGCCCCCTCCTGTTCATACTGTACACCCTTGACTGCATCCACTGCCATGGACAAAACTCTGCTGTGAGGTTGTGCGTCTGACACCTCCATCATCGGCTGGATTTCAACCAACGATGAGACTTCGGAGAGGGACTTTGAGAGGAAATGAACGGAATGATCTTTCAAAGGAAAAATTCCTGCACAGAGCAGAACTTATCCTCTTTGAGGAAACAAAGCTTTGTGATCACTGCTGCTCTGTCTCATTGATGTTGAATATGACCACCAGCAGCAACATCTTTAATCTGAAAATGTATTCCTAAAATGTAAAAAAAAATATTTTTTTCTTCAATTCACAATTTCCCATTTGACGGTTTATGTGAATTAAAGTGTTTCTTATTAAAAGCATATTGTCTCCCTGTAATGAAATGATGAAACTTTAAGCTCCTATATACAACCTATCTTACCTCTATAGAAAAGCTTTCCCTGTGCTGTGCCGGTCCTTGTCATAGGGAATCATAATAAGCGTTAGAATGGCGGGGTATGAAACAGCAGCAGACACTTTTACGCACGGCCCACAGAAGGCTTCCACAGGCTGATTATCAGCTCGGACACAGCAACAAATGAGTGAAAACACAACACAGACCAACACAGGACAGAACTCAACATTTCCCACTAGTAGTTTGCAGAATTAGTTTGTTTGCTTCTTTGGCTGTGAGCCTCTGTGCCATCTAGAGCGCACACAGGCTCACATGCCGTCATGTGCTGGAGAAGAGTTTCCTCTGTCACAGCAGCTTTTTACTCGGTTAACGCTGTTATTTTTCTGCTTTTTGATTAAAAACCAATCGTAAATCTTTAAATACACACAGGTTAGATGTAATTATATCACACAATAAAACTGGACAAAGTAAGATTAGGTATGAATGCTTTTATTCGCATTGGTCATGAAAGAACATGTCAAACAACAGGCTATGACAACATGAAAACAGCGGCATCCACAGCACCGCTTCCAGTGAAAGGCGGAACGTTGATTTCTGAGAGGATCTCTAGGTGACAGAGGGACAGACGAAGTATGCGAGTTTCCCCCCTCTCTCAGGGCCATCCACAGGTCTGAAGCATTTCCTTCTTGTTGTTGCGGTGCTTGTTGCGGAGAGATCCCGTCCCTTGGGTCTCTCCTCCTCAGCATTTCGTCATCTGACTCCGCAAAGTTTCATTTTAAGGAAGCAAAGCTCTGTCCGCACATGTCGCTGTGATCACTGCTGCTCTTCCCCGTTGATGTTCAATAAGACCATCAGCAGTCTTTCGATGAATATCACAGCGAGTGTCTGCCTGTTAAAGGTGATGGTGACAACCAGCCCATCAGGCTCCGCGTAAGAGATGGCATCCCAGAGTGTCAACAGTGTCTGCTGCAGCGTCCCAGTTATTCTTGTGCTGACTGCACCCATAGTTAGAGATCAGAGTTCCTTCTGGCTTCATAATGACTGATCACTTCACTTTTAATGGGAGAAGCGTCGGGTTATGGATACTCGGGTTATGGATTCTCGGGTTATGGATACTCGAGTTACGGACAATATGAAAACAGCAGAGTTAAGATGTGGACTTTAATGAGAATGGGGAGACACAATAGCACAATGGGTACATATGAAGACAATTTTCTGAATTGTTGAAAGTCGCTATATCTGAATCCGAAACATGAAAAATTGAAATCTTCCGAAAACTCAAAAAAACACAAAAACAAAACAAAACAAAATGTAATAAAATATCTTTGATCTCTCTATAATACTCAAATTAAATCCTCAACATGACCTCGAATGGAGGGAGAAATGTTCAGTTTTTTCCGATTTTTTCAGAGCCTCTGATCTTCCGTCGACTCCAGCAAACAGTCCCAAAAACACGGACAAGGTGCGCAGTAGTGTGTTCAATCCACCTCCGTGTCTTCAGACAGGGACAGCGACTCGACAGCGCGGACACAAAGTGAGTGAAAACAGCAGCTTGGTGACAAGTGAATCCACAGCACCGCTTCCAGTGAAACGCTGAACGTTGGATGTTGATTTCTGAGAGGATCTCTATTTGACAGAGGGACAGACGAAGTATGCGAGTTTTCCTTCTCTCTCAGCGCCATCCACAGGACTGAAGCATTTCCTTCTTGTTGTTGCGGTGCCTGTTGCGGAGAGATCCCGTCCCTCGGGTTCCTCCTCCTCAGCATTTCGTCATCTGACTCGCAAAGTTTCACTTTGAGGAAGCAAAGCTCTGTCCGCACAGACCAACTCTGTCCGCACATGTCGCTGTGCAACCCAGCACTTATACGTACGGGAGGAAGTACGACTCCTTGAAAATCATAATTTAATCACAGGAATAAGGTTTAAATAAGGATATTGATTTGTTTGGGGTAGGATCAGCAGTGTTTTTATCGTGACGATTTCTGTGTACGTCGAATTTAAATGGAACGCGAATAAAGTGTTTTATTTTGTAAGGAGAGTTTTTGTCATTTTTAAATTCAGTAATAAGTGTGGTTTTAGACAAATAACATGTTATTTCACAGAGATTTTATGGAAAACTTGCATGTAGAAGGGTTGAAAACCTGGTCCATGTAACATCTTTCGATATGAAAATGTGAAATAGATTGGCTAGTAATCCTGTAGTGAATCATCTTAAGCAACACAACACATCTCTGTTTCACAGTCAAACTTTATTATGATATTGACAGAAATTATATCATAATATAGAATATAAACGATACAGTAATATAAACGATACAACCTTCAGTATTCAGTATTTTGAAAGGGGTAAAAACATAATTGCAGCTTTTACAAATATTTGAAGGTTAACTTTGGTAATAATTGTCCGAGAAATGTTTCAAGTTAAAATATCTGCAATTGCTTCAGTAATGTTGACATGTTGTACAGGATAAAGTATTCCAGGCAGGTTTCTGCCTCATTAAAGGCTAAAATAAACTAATGTGTACAACGAATATAACAGATGGGAGGTTGCAGTAACCATTATACTATTACTCTGATTACTTTGGTACATTTACTGGTTGTCTCTTCACTAGAAACAAATGCTTGCTTTTTTCAATATTTATTTTTATATAGGCCCATTTATTATTTGTATTATGAGTAAAAGCTTAACATTTCTTTATGAACAAAATATAAGAGGTCACATCTTTCCTGTTGGTTTCCTCTAATAATAATACTCTATGTATTTTGTGTGTCTGTGATGTGTGTGACACCAGCATAATAATGTCAGTAGTTTTACATCCTATAGGCTACTCTGCTCACCAAAGTCCACATCTTAACTCTGTTTTAATATGGTCATAGCATGTTGTTTAAAGTGTTCATGACAAATGTGCATAAAAACATTAAAACCACGCACTGCCTATTATGTCATACTAATGATTGACATGTGGTAATTAAACTCTTGCCAGCTTCATTGTGTGGTGGTTATTACATCCAACGTTTGTAGTGAAATAATTTAATATTTAGTATTGCCCATACACCAGAATAAATACACTGGCAGCAGAGTAAAGAGCTGCAGTGACAGAGGAAAGTCTCCTTTTTCCAGCCAATGATGGCATATGAGCCTATGTGCGCTCTAGATTGCACAGAGGCTCACAGCCAAAGAAGCCAACTAATTGTACATAGTGGGAAATGTTGAGTTCGGTCCTGTGTTGGTCTGTGTTGTGTTTTTAATAATTTGTTGTTGCTGTAAATTGACAACACGCACCTGACTATTGGAGAGAAAATCCAGGGCTTTGATTGGAGGCAACCGATCACATGCTGAAACCTTCATGTGCGTGTGACGCACGCAAAATGCATGGTCACATTTGTACGTACGCCTGCTAGAGGACGCTGAAGAAGTAGCCACACGTCTGCCTTCTTCCTTTATTTTCCCTATTTTCTCAGGCACACACACCTGTTTCCATGCTTTATCAAACTGAAGCCTGTAACAGATCTTTCTGTGAGAAGACGCAGCAGGCACAGCGCTGCACTGTCACCTACTGTCCAAATATTAAAGCACACTTCCCAGGAAGTTATGTATAACCTTCTACTTTTTTTTTTAACGGTTTTAAATAAGCCAGTACATTTTAAAGTCCAGAAATTAATAATCAATTTCACATATCTTTTTATATGTGAATAAATATAAATACATCACGTAGGCCTACAATAAGTCACATGTGTATTCAAGTAACAAGATTTAACTTTCCTGTTCTGATCCAAAATCATATGTTTATATTCTGTGGAAGGAACAGTAACATGTAACCACCATCAACAAAGTTTCAATTTACTGATGCAGCCTTTCAGTCTGCTGCAGGATTCAACGCTCCTCTATCTTATGTGCGCTTCTACACTTTGCAATATAAAATAGACATGAAATCGGCATGAAGCTGGACTCACTGGTGACGGTGGCAGAGAGGAGGACACTGGACAAACTGTTGGACATTACTGACAATGCCAGCCACCCTCTGCACACCGTCATCAGCAACCAGAGGAGCCTGTTCAGTGAAAGGCTGCTCCTCCCCAAGTGTAGGACCAACAGACTCAGGAGTTCCTTTGTCCCTCGTGCCATCACCCTCTACAACTCCTCACTCGGGGGGAGGAGAAAATAGGGTAAAGAGGACAGAAGGAAAGGAGTGGTAGCCACTCACTGTGCAATAACTGTGCAATAATAATCTACGGAAATGGAAATGAGGAGTCAAAAGTATTGGTTTCATGAAATGAATATAAATAAATAAATAAATAAAATATTCTCTCCTACTAAATCCAAACAAGAGTTTGGTCTTGAACCAGCAGGCTTTGTTGGCACTTAACAGATTATTCTCCAGCTTTGGAAGAGACACATAAAGCTGGATTTTGCTATATAGTTGAAATTAATGACTAACATTGATTTTTTAATCTCTAATTGCAATAATTGACATTATAAATTTACATGAGGAAAGAAACATAACAGAAAGTAATATTTCTGCTAGTTATTGAAACGGGCTAATTAATAAGTGGGTTAATTGATTTATTAACTATTAACCATCAACCAGGCTTGAGGAGTAACAGATTTCACATAAATAATTAAATGAGTATTAACTTGTGACAGTAATCCATTACAATTATCATCAGATTACAGTTACATTTAGTAAAAATAGGGAAAATACTCAGAGTATTGTAATTTTCCATTTTTTCTCTTTCCCTTTTCTTTTCTAAGGTTACGTTGTTCTGTTACACACTTACATTCATCAGTACTTATTTCTTTTCACTTGCCTTTTTGGGATTTTTGGTTGTTTTGGTCATCCAAAGGTAGCAAAATAATGAAATTACGTTACTTTAATATTGTGATACTTGGATTAGGTTTTAGGTTACTGCATTTTTTTTTACCAGAATATTAGTAATTGTATGGGATTATATTTTACCCTCCTAACCCAATACTGCCATTAATCCACTGACACACAAACTCTCCCACACACTGTCAATTAGAGACCATTCAATTATCTCTGGATTGGGAGCAGAGCCTGACATCTTATGGACAGAAACTGTAATTACAGTCTGCACAGACTATAATACTGTTACAACATATTTCTGAATCTCAAAGTGACCCACTGACAAACACAAATTACACACTGTGATTAAATAATCACCCAACAGATTACATGGGGGTGTTCAAAAACGTCAGTTTGTGCTAAATCACGCTACTCTATAATGGCCAAACTCTGATTGTATCTATAGCTACTACTCTAACCCTACTCCTAAACTTATGAACAGTTCTGATCTAAGTTGCCATATAAAGAAGAACATATAAAAGTATTATCAGCAAAGGGAACTTAACTATAGAAAGTAAAAATCCTGAAAAAAATGTCCCTTGTGACTGATCTATTTAATGTAAGCAGGATGTTACTGTTATAGGAGCACAATGTGGAGCTAGTTGTAACTACTTTATATATAGTAAGTAGTTTATTTAGTCCAGTGGTTCCCAGCCTTGGGGTCCATTGGTCACACAATAAATCTGAGGGGTCTTAAGATGATTAATGGGAAAGGATAAAAGAACAAACAAAGTGTTTGAGGAAGTAGGTTTAAATTTCCCACATCATTGACATTCTAGTTATTTAAGCTTATTTAAGCAATGCCACTTTATATTTTGTATTTTTTTAGCTTATCATAAATAGTGTTTTGTTTAAAGCATCAAATACATTAAACTTAAAATAATGTATTTTTCAAACATCTGCAATAGAAACTAGTAAGCGTTCATTTTACTGAAATGTATCCTTCTTACTTTATCTCCTGTTAATAAACAATTAAGACAAGTAATTTACTTGATTAATCACATAAGTATTTATCAATTGTTAATTTAACTTTTCTGTGGACAAAAATTCAAAGCAAAGTATTTGGTACACGTTGGGGTATGCAGGTAGGTAAACAGGTAGGTAGGATGAAGGAAATGACTGGGCTCAACACAGGCCTTGACTTCTACAGGTATCAGATTTCTTCCCTTTTTTTCAGAGGATTTGATTCATTGATTGCTGTCAGGATGTACAGAGAATTTCAACCATCATAACAAAAAATACATCTGAAATATGTTAACCAATAAGACCATTAATTTACTATACTATATGGATGGAAAAAATAACACCTAGTATAGTATCTTAATTAATTTAGAGTAGAAGTCCACAATTACAGACTATAAAGCAGCGAATGAGTCCAAAGTGATTCACAGCTTACTAATGTTGACAAAAAGGTTTTGGCTTTCTGAATGGTGGCTGTACGCTGCAGACACAAAAGCCCGCTTATCTAAAAGTAAGGCTAAATAGCATTTGCTCTACGTTACACATTAACACTAGTTATTTTAGTGATAGATTTAACAAAATAAACCAAGACAATTAGCTTGATCCTGTTTCAGATATGAGTTGCATGTTATCTTGTCTAAACAAAATCCTGAATCTTGTGATGGAAAATCAAAGCTCATGTCTCCACTGGTAATAGTTTCAGGCTCATAGTGGTAATTAAAATCCAGCTCACTTATATCTACCCCGTGTTGTCAGACCTGCTTGCTTGTTATAGCACAATAAAGGAGGAAACAGAAGACGGCTTTGAGCTACTTTTGACAGTTCGCAGGTTCTCCTTCACCTTCAAAACCTCAGTAAAAGAAGTCCCCACTACAAATACTTTGCACTTTATTTCAAAATGTATCAACTTACAACAACATACATACAAATAATTTGTAGATTTTTTTTCTTTCTTTACAATAGTTCCTGTGTCCAACATACCAGTCTTTGTGTCATTATCACAATGATGCATTTATCATGTAATTCCTCAATAAATTGCTATGAAGTAGACAGCGTGTGTAGCGTTTTTTATATTGAATTTATTTACAAAGTGTAGTGTTCTTAAGAAACAGATAATGTACATTCATGTACGGTGTCCGTTAGATTGATTTAAATGCAGTAAAAATTGATTTGTTAGGTCATTCAGGAATTCTGATTGCATGAGAACTGACACTAACTGTCCTAAATAATGCGGCATTCTTGCAAGATAAAAGCATAGCACTTCACTTCTGTAGAGGCCAGATAGGAAGCAGAAAGGCTCCAGTGATTAAAATGATCCTCTAAAGCCTTCTGTCATTTGCAGCAGTTACGCTGTCTCAGATTTTATTCTGCAGAAGAGGATCATGGAGACAGTCATGGCACACACCTGAGAAGAACATGCATATTAGTGAAACATGCAAATAAAAAGTAAACGTATACCAAAAAAAGGATGCTGTGCAATGATATGATATGAAATTCAGACGCATGTTTTTCATAGCTAATCAATGGTGATCTTAATTAGAAGTGTATTAACATTTGCTGATAAATACACTTCTATTATCCCACATTCATGCATGAAATTTTAAAATTGCATTATCCCATTGCCATCAGATGCTGAATAAGGCTTTTTTTACTGTCATGTATCCTCTCTCTCTGATGCACGTCAGCATAATGTAAAGTGAGAAAAAGATGAGAGATGTGGTCATACCTCCAAAGCTGCAATCCCCAGGGCCACTCCCACTATAACCACTGTGTTGCTATCAATCAGATCCTTGATCTTTGGGAAGCAACCAGTGATTGTCTGAGGAAAATAAAGAGGTAAAAAGGTAGAATTAACTTTTATCCATTCAAAATGGTTTTGAAATTGGTCATACTGTGACTCTGTGATACCCACCGATTGTGTACATGGTTCATCAGTGTCTGCACAGCACTGTGGTGGGAAACTATTGCTGTGATCAGTATAATATGGAGAGCCAGTGAAGTCTGAAGAGTTGTAGAATCCACAACAATGTAACTAATTTGGACACAAAGAGAGTATATGTTATACAAAACATCAGCAAAATTATGTAAAAAAGATTTTATAATTTGTTCAGCATACTGTGCTCATTGTAGTATTCCACAGTCCTGTAATGTCGGAATTTTTCCCATAGTCCTTTTTGATGCTCTTAACTGCTGCCGTGCCAAACTTGACAAACAACTCGTCCAACTAAAATGCAAACATACAATAGTTTTTAATCCAAGTACCAAAAGGCAGCACCTTTCACAATAACTGAGTTACCATCCAACCATCTTCTGTGTGACAAAGTCCCTTAGTTTACTCACCAAGGGTCTGAATACCAAGATCACCACAGCTCCTGCAATCTCCGCTATGAAGACCAACAGGATAATGAGGAAAAACTAGGAAGAAGATCAGAATGTTTAATTGGAATGGGAGTTTTAAAACCAACTTTTTCATTAAAATGTCACTGTATGAATTCTTCTAAAGTCACGTGTGTTTCCTTCCATCTGTTTTTCTGTGCATTTTCAATTGGAAATAAATGTCTACTATTGTGAAAAAGTTTTCACGTTTGGCTGAAGTGGAAGATTTGGTGAGAGACTTAAACTTAACTTAAATCACAATGTACATGAAGCTTTTGACTCATCAAGAGTTGAAAAATTGCTGCAAATAAAAATATTAATTGTATGTGGCAATGAGGAGACTGACATTCCTCAGATTAATTCATGAAACATAATGCCATATTCCCGTTATATTTTAACGGACCAAGGTCATCTCGCATGACTTGTTGGGTCTCTGTAAATAATGTTATAAGGAGTTTGTCTAGACCTGCTCTATTTGAAAAGTGTGCTGAGATAACTTCTGTTATTATACAAATAAAATAGAATTGAATTGAATTGAATGACAGAACTGGCGGCATCTGCTGGGGAAAGGGGGTGGTGCCTGCATGAAAGTACAGACATAATTGCAGGGAAGGACCCAGAGTGCTTCCCCGCTCGTAGGGTGCTGCTTAAGGTGCACAATGAACACAGTTCTGCACAAAATATGACAGTGTAAGTTATCAGAACTTAGAGAACCTTGGTGACCACAGAATCGTTTTGTATTACCTATTTTTGTTAGCCATTTCACACAATTCAGAAAAACAAAAATGTGCATGAACTATAGGACTGTATTTATTATGTTATGAATGAAATGTGCGTTATTTGGAAAAAAGTTATGTGTGACTGATTTACTTGATCCCTCCCTCCGTTTCTAGGACCAGACTTTCCCCCCCCCCCCCCTCCCCTCTCACACGTCCTTCCACCTTCCCACAGTGATATGATAAAAGATTTATAAGTAGTAGCCTGCTATAATAATTACAGTTTCACCACTTTAAAGGGATTGTTTGGGGGGGGTTATAGGCAAAATAGTTAAAAGAGAGGGGGGGGGGAGGGGGGGAGGGGGCCATGCCAGTAGATGGGGTTTCCTTTTGGCACATATATGTAGTATAAAAACTTTCACCACTTTTCAGATTAGCTGTTACCTAATACAACTGCCTCAAAATATCTGAACTATGCCTTTAATTTGTTTCCCTAGAATTAGATAAGAAGCTACCACACACAGACCATTTGCTTAGCTTAACACAAACACTTGCAAGGAAAGCTGGAGCACTTTAGAAGGATGGCTATGCAGTGTAGCCTTTATTCCTTAGCTTTCAACAACAGTGAAAGAGAGAAATTTCATTCTTCAAATGTTAATGCTAAGCTCATATCTCATCTAACTCCCAGCAAGAAAGAGCAAAGCATAATATTGAACTACTCCTTTGCGAAGTTGCAGACAACCTACCAGCATCAGCATGCACTTGCTCTCTTTGATGGCTCCACAGCAGCCTAGAAAACCGATGATGACCAGAAGTCCTCCTAATGCAATCAGCAGGTAGCCCACATTGAGCACCTGACTGAGCTCTGCTGGGGCATCTTCAATTTTCCCAAGAAAGCTGAGGATGGAGCCGCTGTCCACCTTCACCCAGATTCCAACACCAAGGATGGCAGCACCTGCCAACTGATGGAGAGAAGAGACAGGAAAATCTTAAGGAAACTCCACCAATTTTACACATAATGGTCAGTTTACTTGTCATAGGAAGTACTACACAGTGTACATTTACCAAGCAGGGAGGAACTAATGAAAGAGTTAAGGTTTTGGAGCTTTACCCATTTAAGGGACTAAAAGTCAGAATAATGTGCTCAACAGCTTCAAATTCAACCATGATTTCTTTTACAGTCTCTTACAACTCCAAACACATGTTGAAGTGCAATATTAAAATTTTAAAGTAGCCTTTGAAATAAGGTTCTTCCACTGGCTCATTTCAGCCTAGTAAAACACAATTAATGACAACTGCATCATACAGAGGCTACTTTCCGTTTCATACATTTTGATCATTCAAATCAATCAATCAATTTCGGTCTTACAGGTGTGGTTGCTGATTCATTTCTGTGTCACAAAGTTGCAATTGTTCTTCACACTTTGCATATTTTCAGACATCTTTCATACTACTACTACTACCACCCACTGTTTTGCTGATGCACACATTACTTAAAGGTAAAAGTGTAAAATGTAAAAGTGGAAATTAAATCATAGTTTGAATCAAATTGACTTTGTAATTATAACTTACAAAGATGATGCCATTGAAAACAAACATAGCAGCCTTGAGGAATCCGAAACATCCCATTTTTTCTGCCGATTGTTCTACCTGGAAAAAAGAAAAAGAAATGTTAAACAAATACTGTTCATCATTTTGTTGTCAACACTTATTTTTTACTTTCATGATTTTCACACAATGTCAAATCTCATTAAAATGTTATTCGGCAATTTAAAGTTTATCATCAAGTATGTTTATTTATCCATTTTAATGCCAGTTTAACAACAATGGGTGCACACATCAGCCATTTGTGTGCCCAGCATCAGTCATCTTGATGATGTGTTTCACTATGTCATTATATACTGCCAGTTAGGTGACAAATTAACAGTGGGATTGGGCTGTTTTTATCTGTAAGGTTGAGAGAGCAGGAGACGGGAAAACACCTGTCGCTTTACCAACTCACCTTTTACCCTTTGTAAGCTTTACAACTTATCTTTCTCAAACACTCACAGTGCCATGAGCCTTTCATTTCCACTCTCAGGACATTTACTGTACACATACTGTATCACCTTACATGAAACTTGTGTGAGGGCTTTGTTTAGTTTAGAATTAATGAGGGTAGAGACGATTGAGGAAGTATGCCTCTATTTTCTGGGAAGGTTTATCATCTAGCCCATGAGATGCAAATGAGGAAAGGAAACAGACTCAGGAGTTAGACATCTAAATTACTGATGTGGAAATGTTTCTTCTCTGTTAATTATGACATTCTAATACTTAAAAATCATAAACATAGATGATATATAGTTGAAGTAATATGAGCATAAATGCAGTTTTTAAAGATCAAAGACAGTGTATTTCTGTGTGTGTGTATTTGCATAGAAAATGATGTGGCCAGGCAGTCACACCCAGCACACAAGTAAGACTACGACGTAAAAGCTGAGGACAAACAGACGTACATTACAACATAACAGCCCACCTCTATATCTGTCGAATCTCTCTCTATATCTCTGTTTTACAAGTTTGCACTTTAACATTTCACTTTCTTCATCCTCTCTTCATTCATCAAACAACACACACACACACACACACACACACACACACACACACACACACTATATCCTGTCTCTAAATCTTTTCCTCCCACCCCCTTTTACAACCTCTACTGTTCTAGAGTCACTTGAAGATTGTCACTTCCAAATTAGAGTGTGTGTGTGTGTGTGTGTTGTTGTGTGTGTGTGTGTGTGTGTGTGTGTGTGTGTGTGTGCGCGTGTGTGCGTGTGTGTGCATGCAGACCTCCCAGATGGGGAACAGTGCCCTTTGTGTGGTGTGACAAAGCAGACATATTGTTATCCCCAACTACAATGACTGAGCAGAACCGTATTGCGTATAGCAACAGGCTGCTTTCTGAGAACTGGGATATCCCTCGTGACCTCTACACTATTATTTCAAATGCACTTTTCTACTAAAGCCTTTACAGTTGTTTTCGTTGTACAACACCTTCCATAAATATCTGCTCGCATATAGAATAAGCCCCAAACAGGAAGTGACTTGTCAGTTCATTGAGCTTGCCTCTGCTGTTACAGTAAAGCTGGTTTTCATCAAGTTAATCATACATTCAGGGGCCAAGATGCAGTCCAGTGGTTGCCTTGACTCCCCAAACTCCCTCTATCATTTCACTCCCCCAAGCTTCTTCCCACCAGGAGTCAGCCTGGTGATGTATTAAGAAGCTAGAGTCACACGCAAGTCTCAAAATGCCCCAGAAATGACAGAAAAAAAGATGTAGTGTGCACTTCCATTACCTCTTAGAACACAGATTAACAAAAAGGAGGAGCTCTTGGTTGAAGGTTACATATATAAAGCTGTACTTTATGTGTTACACATGCAAGCAGATACATAGTCTGTTTGTTGGTCTTAGATCAACAAAAAACTTGTGAACTGTCTCTGACTGACCGACTTCCATCAAAAACAAGACAGACAAATCTCAAAGGACGCCATTGAATGGAATAATTGCAGGCAGGTCTCAGGAGATAAAGGATCATTGTCAGACGGATCCCTCCCTACGTTGGTACAGCCCTTGAAAATTTATCAAAAGACTCAAAACTCACATAGAGAAGCTAACATATAACTTTAAATCACGGTCAGTCTAAGTTAAGTCATTCTTCAGATTTACCTTTACTTCAAAGGAAATATCCAAGGACGTGCTTTGAGGCTAAGAGTCTTTCTCTCTGGTGATGGAGGCTGCTGTTGTGGGAGCAGACTGAGTGTGAGATAACAGGAGTACAGGAGTGTATTATTCTTCTGTCCTCTGAAAATGACCCACAATATACTCTCTGTCTTCCGCTTCCTGTAGCTCCCCCAGTCTGTTAGATATGAAGTGACTCTAAGTGACTTTTTCAGCTTTCTGCTTTTATTTTAAGGCTGCTGACTGGTTATAAGTACTGAAAAGGGAGGAGGGAGCAGGTGGGCGTGACCAAAGTAGCTGAGTATTAACAACACATCACCATGGAGTTGGGCTGGTCACTCCTGAGGGAGAAAGGGGAGGAGAGAAAGAGAGATCACCTGTATGTCACACCAGCCATTTAACATACATACTGTACTGTGCCTCTGTTTCGAGGTGTTAATTTGAACACAGCTTCTAAATTCGACAAAATAATGTGAGCATTTGTGATTGTAACCATTTCTAATAACTGACAACAAGCTATGTTTAAACCTTTCCATCTTTAGCAAAGAACTTAAAAAAAGTTGTACATAAACTGCATTATTATCTTTGTGCTGTACGATGTGCTCCAGTCTGGTTTCAAATCAAACCATAGTACTACTGTTGAACAGCTTTTATCAGAGTAATCAATGACCTAAATTCAAAAGTGAGTCAAACAGAACTTTTGTTGTAGTTTTACTTGATCAGTGCAGTCTTTATCATGGTTGATAATGATATTATAATTATTCAGTTGTCACTATAATTCAGTTGGTTGGGGCCTCTTCATCACTTGTTTTCTTCCTACAAAAAGATGGGTAATTCCCACGACTACTGCTTTTTAATTCACACATGCTCCCTTTTGGCAATATAAGTGTTGCATGAATCATTATATTTATATCAACAACGGAGCAAATTACCTACCTACAGTATAAAAGGTGTCTCTAACCGTAATGAACCCATAGATAATTATCACCTGACTCTCTGTATATCTCTCTTTATAACTATGTTTTAGTTATTTGGCCAAAAACTCAGCCTTAAGGTTATCCTCAACCTTGTTTCCAGCCACAGCATGCAAACTTTCAGTGAAAAAGTTCTGATAAACCTGCCTGTTCAGCACCAAACAGCAGACTGTTCATCAACAAGCTAGCAAACATAGTGGAGCATTTAGGAGTTACAGCGCCAGATCAGGAGTTCATGGAGGGAGACCCGAACAGAGCTAGTAGGGGAGGGAATATGGGACTTACTTTTTCGTGGTGGATGGAAGAACAAGCTCAAATAAATGGCAGTGTCTGTTGGATGTGTACATTTGCTAACACATAAGCCATAACAATATATAAGGTGATAAGTGTGCGCTTATGTATAGTTGCAATTTCTCACCTGCACAGAAAATAATGAGGTGTTGGAGGTGTGCTGCTGATTTGCAAAACAGAAATAAAGGAGTGCTCTCTTTAATCATTACTGACCCAAACAAAGGACGGCTCCAGCTTATTCAAAACGCTTCTTGTGAAGCCTCTTGTTTATATGCAAACATATTACTCCAGTACTCAAATCACTTCACATTTGGATTAATTTTAAGGAGATTATTTCCTGTAAATATTACATCAGAGATGAATTTTCTTTTTATAGGTCAATGCCATGACAGTATTTTTAAATTTGATGTATTGCATATTTTGAGTCTGGAACAAGATTAATTAATTAACAACTTTTTAATGCATTTTTTAACAGTACCCTATTCCTAACTTCACCACCCAAAAAATGTCAGGCGGTGCAACCAAATCATTGTAAATATATATATCTTCCTATTATTGATTTCAGTTATCTCTCTTTTCTTTTAGCAAGATATGCTCTCTTGCAGCTGGATCATATTTAATGCACTCCCTGTGTGGAGCTGATTTAACTTAAAATGATTGAGAAATATAATAAAAAAGGTTTTAAAGTGTATAAGATCTTTAACTTAAAATCAATAAACATTTTACAAATGCATTAGATAATCTTGGAGTTTTAAACAAGAGTATTTATTTCATTTAGTGTCATTTCCTTTCGTTTGAAACATAGTATCATGCTATGGTGTTCTACTTTGAATTTATCACCATTAAAATATTATTTTTAAATACTTTTCTTAGTTTGTTCACTCGTACAGACAGTTGACATTTTGGGGGTTCAAGCTTCAAAAACATAAATACTATTTATTATTCTAATGTACTTAAATTGACACAAAAACATGTATGTTATGGCATTGACCCCTATGTTTTCTTACATCACTACATCAGGCCAGTGGTTCGTCTTTGGTCTTGCCTGGATATCTGTCCAGTGTAGACCTTTTTTAATGTATGATACAGAATAGTATTAGGACCAATAAAAACTACTAAAAAAATGACTGTTGTGATTTCTCCTCGGTTGGGCCCTTTTTTGAGTTAGATTTACTGTACTACCTTTATTCTTATTTCTCTTATCTTTTATTGTTGTTTGCACTTTCTTGAATTGTATTTATTGGGTTGTTGTACATGTTACTGTGTGCATGACAATGTAGATATTATATATTTATTTCTAGTGGGGATACTTGTACCGAGCTGATTTGTGAGCAACTTGTGCTGAACTTTATTTTCCCACAGCATGGCAAGTTAAAATAAGTTGCTTGCCTTGATAATGTGCTGGAGGAGGGCTGCTGATTTGCAAAACGGAAATATAAAAAAGCTCTCTCTGATCATTACCCACCCAAAAAAAGATGAAGGCTCGAGCTTTTTCAACATTTCTTGTGAAGCCTCTTGTGTCGATGCCATTATATCAGTCCAGTTCAAAACTCTCTTTTTTGAAGGACTTTATGGTTTGACTTCCTATTATATGTCTGACCTGCTCACTGACAACAGTCCAGTCCTTATAGCTTATCTGCTTTTCTAATGAGATGTAGGGTTTGTCTTTCTGAAGGAAGGGTGGCCATTTTCCCTCATATTGCATATTTTTTGCACTTTCTTGAATTGTATCTATTGTATTCTTATATATGTTGCTGTGTGCATTTTAATGTAAAGAATTTACTTGCAATGAAATGCCAATATAAATAAAATTGTCAAGCTTTGCCTGAAACACAGTGACATTTCAAGACTACATTTCGTTAAACAATCGTGGAGAGCTGTCAGATGGAGTCTCCACCACCAGGTGTTCCTAAATTAATGGAAAACTTGGACGTTGGCGAGTTGAATGCTGCTCAGACTTTGACCTCATATGTCTCACACTGTAGCCTACAGTGTGACATTTGCACTATCTGAACTTCAGTCCTTTTGAACAGAACACAGAGAGTGTGTCACACTCTGTAATTAGTTAGTTAGTCATTTTACTAACTGAACTGCAAAGTTAGGGAGGATAGATGATTTACAGCAGCAGAATAGTAATCATCAATCACAGCATGTTAATGGCATACATTTTTGATTAGCTGATAAGAAAAGGTGTGGAGCGGTGGAATGTCCTTATGAAGCTAATGAAAAATAAGAAATCATCACATATTCAAGTGCATAATCAAAATCTATTTTATGTTAATCAATATTTCACCCTTAAATTCCAAAATTGAATTCCTAAGACCTGAAGACAAACATATCTTCCCCCATGCTAAACCTTCTATTTACATTGTCCAACATTCAGCTGACTGAAGGGTCCAGTGTCTGAGAAGTAATGTTATGAGTGTGTCATTGACACATCTCCTTTTCATGCCTTTTCTTACTATTTGTGCACACCTACAATTTGTCTCTCTCTCTCACACTCTCACTCACACACACACACACACACACACGCACATTATGCAAGAGGCAAGAACACGCTGAATATTGTTAACCATACGTGTCAAACAAATGTCTTTCATAAAAAGACACAATACAAATATGAGTCATATTCACATATTTTAGTGATTAGAGAGAAAAGTGCATTTGCTTTGTAAATGACTGAGGTGAACATAAGCTGGAAATACTGTCTCCGGTCAATTTTATAATGTTTCAGACTGACTTGTTTTTAAACGAGAACCCAGTGAAAGGTTCATATGAACTTGATTGGCTAACTACATGAAAAGACTGAGGGTAAAGCTACATGTTCCAGGCAAAACATCAGCATCCTCACAGTTGACTGATTTAGTTCTAAAGTAACTCTGCTGAACGTTAGCTTCGCTTACTCAGACAAGCAAGACAGAGATTAGATTTATACTTTATTATTATTCATATATTCAATCAGTGTGATTTATTATAGAAAAGATGAAAACTAAGTCTGGTGATGGTGACGCTATCTTGAATAACAAGTTTAGCTGGGGTTGCTGGAATGTAAACTTTCCCAAATCCAGTAAGGAGCAAGGCTGAGCCGCTAACCTAGCTGCTAGTCTCACTCTCATCCATGAGAATCCTGGACTGGCTCCCACACAGTGGGGAAATACTACACAGGGGATGTGCTATCATGAACAGGACCTTTTCAATGTAACCTTATACCATAAAATAATGTTGTATGAAATGCAGCTGCCACTGTAAGAAATGGTGGGTTATTATTGTAGGAAATAGGCTAGTTAGGCAGCCATGCTAATGTCTGTTTGTTACATTAGGGCAAATAAACAGTTTAATCCAGGGCCAAAAGGAAACACCTATTGTATTGTACTGTTAGAATCCCAAATTTTGTTAATTGACGTCCTGTACAAAGTGCCACTCTGGCCGCCAAACTCAGATTAGGAAAAATAATAAATAATTAGGGATCCTACATATTCAAAGAGCATTTTTACCACACAAAAAATATTACAGCATAAACAAACCAAACCTTATGGCGAGAACTTTGGCCTGTGGGCCCGGGTTCGGGCAGCCCTGGTTTAATTCATCCGTTACAGTTTTGCTCTTGTGATTTTGGTTTTGGAAAGGCTTTCCAGTTTCCAGACAGAAACTACCACAATCTTCATATAAGTAGTATCTCTCTTAGTGGAGCCATGCACTCTGCTTCAACATGTAGAGAAATCCAAAGCTTGACTAAAGTGCTATGCCTAGCTATTGTTGTCAAGCTGCTAACTGTTTGAGGGAATGGTTTAGTGAACGATCAGTTGGACATCAAAAAAGTGGATTAAGCTTTTTCCCTGCTGTACCAAATATGTTCACAATGTTTGGGCCCTGTACTCTGAAACAGCCTGTGTCCTGCACAGCTGTTGGACTGGCCCACTTTTGCCTTCATCCACTGCTTGTGTGTTCACAGGTGACGTTCATATCATCCAGGACA